CGCTGATTTTCGACAAAATGCGTTTTACTCGGTGTTATAGCGCTTTCCCTAGAAGCCCCGTGAACGGTGAAACATTTTATCTTTGACCTGACCTGTGACGTCATCGGTGACCCCAAGGTCAATGAAACTTGGTTTCCTTCGACAAATTTGACAGGGCTATCGAACACCGTTTGAATTTTCCGTATCCGTTCAGTACTTTCGGAGATACGGGGGGGGCAAAAAATGCCCCCCCCCCCCACCGCGCCGCGCGGAAGGTGGCCGGGAGGCCCACCGCCTGCCGGGTTAACCCCAGGGACCGCGGATTCAAATTCTCGTAGGGTGTGCAAGATGTGGCGATTGGGCCCCCCATCTCACGCCGGGCCCCTTCCAAAAAGTCAGCGCCGCCACTGCTCCGGAATAATCCGGTTCTAAGGAAGCGGGGCGGGAAAACCTTCAAAATTGACGGTCGTAAGATGACTGAGCGAGCATCTTACGGTCAGGAGATGCATGAGCAGAGTAAATGCACATGCATGCATGCAACGTGATCCAAATCAATCTCCGATTTTCCCAAGCAGGCCCCTAAAGGCTTACAGTGACCTTCAAGGGCCCCCACGGGCCTCAGAGAGCCCTTTTGCACAGTCGATGTTGGCACACTTCTTTTTATCATGGATTGTTTAAAAATAATTAGTTTGTACCGGTTTTTCTGACCTGGTGACCTGACCCAAGGTCACCCGGACCTGAAATTTTCAGGTCATATGTAAAAAGGTTGCCCCATAGGCTGTGCCAATATACTGTGCCCATACTGTGCCAACCGGTACTAACTAATTATTTTTAAACAATCCATGATAAAAAGAAGTGTGCCTATGGGGCAACCTTTTTACATATGACCTGAAAATTTCAGGTCCGGGTGACCTTGGGTCAGGTCACCAGGTCAGAAAAACCGGTACAAGGTCATGGTCAAAATAATTAGTTAGACATGAATTAGTTTAAAAATAAAACACGGCCGGCGGGATGTTTGGGCCCATCGATTTGGCCCCTATGACCTATGGGGTCTGGCCTCCGGCCCCCTTAGCTTCCCCATTGTTCTACGGCCCACACGCTGACTTTGGGGCCCCATAAAGGCCGCACGCCAGCTCCTGAGACCCAACGCCGGCAATTCTAAGGGTCACCGGCGCACCGCACACGGTCTTTGAAGGTCCCATAACGGCATCTGGAATACCTCATGTACATACATAGAAATATGGAATGAATGCCCACGCCGCTTCTTGGGCCCCCACACCGGGCTCTTTGACACCGTTCGCCGGCTCCATGGGGTACCAACTACCAACAGTAGCGGCGGAACACCTTCAATTAAGGGGGGGGGCACTGCCGACTTTTGGTCCCATTCTTTCCATGCAACGCCAATTGGGCTAATGTTAACCCTCGCCCTGGCAGGGGGGGGGGTCGATGCGACCCCCCCTAAGGTTTTTCGAAGATAGCGTAAAAACGGCGGCGCGCAGCGCCGCCAAATTTGGCACAGCCTATGGGGCAACCTTTTTACATATGACCTGAAAATTTCAGGTCCGGGTGACCTTGGGTCAGGTCACCAGGTCAGAAAAACCGGTACAAGGTCATGGTCAAATTTCAATTTTCTTTTTGCACCTGTCCAACTCACAGCTTTGGACTGATTTCCTTCAAACTTTCAGGATGTGCTAAGTTCACCGAGTTGTATAACATATAGTTCGGGTTTTTTTAGGTCACTGACCTGAGGTCAGTTAGAGGTCATTACGTCGTAATGTTAAGCCTATGGGAAAATACTAAATTCGAAAAATACTGAAGATATCCGCTTCGTTCTATCACTTTTGTGCTTTGAAACCACAGTACTTAACAGCAGGTCACTTGGTGCTTCTTTGTGTGGTGTACTTATCCATGGGTCAGGTCAAATGAGGTCAACTGAGGTCAAATGACGTTTTTGCCAATCATTTGGCACATAACGCTAGAGCTTAAAAAATGGTATCATTGTGTTCCTGGTGATCAGCCGAATCGAATGAAATGCGGTATGATGCAATTTGGTTAACCTGAACTTAATTTATTAATTTAAATTTACTTAAAATTTAAGAAAAACTTTAAGTACACTTAAGCAAGCTAAAAAGTATATCATTCGACGCGCCTTGACGTGCTGAGTTCAGTGGTGCTTTTCTTTTTGCTCTATCTTAATTAGATCAAAAGTTATAAGCAAAAAACTTTTGAACTGTTTTTAGCGAAATTTTTACATTTATACCCCCCAAAACCCCCCTAAATATTGACCTAGAGCAACCAAATTTGCACAGGGGCGAGAACTCCTGGGGCCCACCTACCTACCAAATTTGGTGTTTCTAGGTACCATAGGAGCCAATCGCGAGGGGGGGTCGCATCGACCCCCCCTGCCAGGCCGTGTTATGAAAAATGCCCTGCCAGGGCGAGGGTTAAAATGCCCAAATCAAAGGGGGACACGGTGCCCCGGTGCCCTCCCCGTTCCGCCGCCTATGACTACCAAGCAAGCTCGTCTGGAGGTCCACCACCGTCTCTTGGCGCCCGAGTAGCCTCGATGCCTGAATAGGGCCCCGAGACATCGACCTTGGCCAAAAAGCGTTCGTGTAGGCCCTCAGAAACTAGTGTGAGCCCTGAGATTACTGTGGGGCTACTCACGCACTTCTGTCGGGTCATCATGCATCGATTTGGGTCCGAGCTAGTGAGGGTTATCAGAAGCATCCTTTAGTCCTGCGACTTCAGAGGTTGGTGTGAGATCCTAAAAAAAGAAAGTGAGGGCACTCCGAGGCTTGCAAAGGGCTTTTCCTCGGAGGTCGGCCTTGGCCGAACGGCGTTCCTCACACTGGTGTAGGGCGCTGAGATTACTGAATGGGACTCTCGAGTATTGGCATGGGGCCCTCAACTATCAGCACGGAGCCCTCAGGAGCCGGTAAGGGCTCCTCTGCGGCATGCATAAGCCATCCGATCTCAGAGGCCGGTGTGAGATCCTAAACAAGAGCTTAGTGCACTTAAAAACCTGCGTAGGGCCCTCAGAGATCAGCTTTGACCAGACGGCGGTCGTGGACGCCCTTAGAAACTGACGTAGGGGCCGTCTCAGTCGGTCGGCCCTCTCACATCAGCCTGGGGATCTCAGGAATCGGCCTGGGGCCCTCAAGAGCCGGTTAGGGCCCTCGAAAAGTGGCATTATACCCTGAAATAGCTGTGTAAGGCCCTCGGGTAACGGCTTGGGGCCCTTGGGCATCGGCCTGCGCCCCCGGGCATTGGCCAGAGGTCCTTGGATATCGGTCTGGGGCCCCTCAAGAGCCGGTGAGGGCCTTCAGAAACTGGTATGGGGCCCTGAGATAACTCTGTGGGCTTTCAGGTACTGATGCGGGACCCTTAGGCATCGGCCCCAAGAGGGGGTTAAGGAGGGCAGGGGGCAGGGGCCCTCAAGAGCAGGTTAGGGCCCTCAGAAACTGGCGTAGATCCCTGAGCTAGCCATGTAGGTACTCAGACACCGGCGTGGGACCTTTAGACATCGACTTGGGGCCCTCGGGCATCGGCCTGGGCCCTCAAGAGCCGGTGGGAGCGCTAAAAATGGCGTGGGTGGGGTTCGGAGATAACCACTGAGATAACACTAGAACCTGTTCACGCCTTCAGGCACCGGTGCGGGACCATCAGTCTCGCGCTGGGGCCCTCGAGAATCGGCTTGGGACACTCAAGCGCCAGGGCCGCATGGGCCCCCACAACGAACTGTGGGTGCGCAAAAATAGGTGTTTGCACACCATCAGGATTTTCAGGGTGTGCAATTGCACACCCTGCCCCCCGGAATCCGCGGTCCCTGGTTAACCCGCGCCAATAAAGCTCACTTCAACAAGTGAAATAGCTTCCAGCAAAGATACCTACTCTTCGTGACCTTGGCCTTGGAGCAGCCTTGTATCGTAAGATTAACCACAAATAGGGGCCTGATAAGCTTCAAACATTTCAAAACATCTTGAAATTTAGTATACAAGATACACGAAAATTGCAAAGTTTGATGTCAATTTTGAACATGACCTTGACATTGACCTTGAATGTTGAGCACACCATCGGAATCATCAGACTTTCGCTTTTCGTTTCACACCCATTTTAGCCGGTTTTGTGCATCCTGCCGTCCTCTAGAACACTTACTTTGAAATCACTAGGTACACATGTGCCGTTTTTTGCCTTTGGCTTGACCTCTGACGTTGAAAATCGACCTGAACTCAAAAAGTTTTGGTGCTTTGGAATTTGCTCATAACGACCTTTCGTTTGCTACCGCTTTTGTTTTCGTAGCTTCTTTATTTACGGAGTTAGACGGGGGGGGGGGTGTCGAAGAACGCTCCCCGGGCTGTGGTGGTTGGGATTACTCCCCGGGCCCGGCCGGATGAATTTGACACAAACATAGGAGTAAATCATATAGTTACATCATGCCGGTTATGTGCGTAAGTACATTTACAGCAGTGCCAAGAAATGACACTTATTTTCTCATTTATGGTTTGAAAATAATCATTCACATACTCGTAGCAAAACAATCATAAGGTCTATCAAAAGCTACTTTGTCTCAGCTCAAGGAATGAGGCTGTAGTCAACCTTATTGAAACATCGAAGCTTCCATATGGTAACTCCATCAGAACAGCCGTCAGAAGACGACTATATGATTTAAACGATCCTGATGAGACCGGTTACATACGACATATCAGGATCTGAGCCTGATAAGTATGTACATTGTACGTGTATGTTCTTTTCTTTTCAGGAATATGAGTCAGATATATTTGTCTTCAGTCTTTGTTTTGTTATCAGTCCAGTCGCAGCGACATTCATCAAGTCGTTAGTGGTGACACAAGGACCTCTCACTGATATGAGAGGACCTCATCCACCGGTGACCTCAATGACAGTGGTGACCTCGGCTAACACTTTTGCAACATCCCACTTGATGGCAGCGTTATGTAGACGTGTTTCAATGATCGATAACCAGTAGAGTGGTGGTCCGAGCGACGGGCAAAGTTCGGCGCGCCTCCCCGGCAGTCACTGACCCGCCGTCGTGGCCGGCGTGCCGTGCCGCCCATGACGCCGATACCTGTGCGTTGAGTGTGTGGGGCGGAGGGGGGCGCTATCGGCGGCCGTCTCGGGGCCGCCGGCGGGGCGCCCGGCCAACCATTGACGCGCGCTGCTCGGTGCTGGTCGGTCAGCTCGTCGGAGGCGCTGCCCTGGGCCGCGCAGTCCTTCTGGAGCGACCCCCGCCGGAGTCGGACGCCGCCCCTCCCCCTGTCCCCTCCCTGCACCCCGCCCACCCCTCGCCGACGACCGGCCCACCTGCCCCCGAGCCGTGAGCGCCGCGCCAGCTGCAGACCGTCACACCGAGAACCGGTCAGTACCACCACTTCAAACTTACTAATTCAGTGTTGTCATACGTCCTATAGCTACGTAGTTTGACTTGTCATGAGAGGCTTATAAGAGAGATGTAGAATCAGCTTGTGTCAGGGCCGTGATCCATTTAGGCTATGGCACTCCGAGGAAGGGCGACGCTTCTTCCTAACTCGGCTCCTCCTGACTACGACACGACAACCGGTGAAAGGTGTCAAAGCCGTCAAAAATCAATACGAAAATTCCTAAGCGATTTTTATTTCGGGTGAAAATTTAGGACACTACAAGTCATCGAAGATTAATATTTTTGTCAACTAAATACACATGTAATCGTCAATAGCTGGCAAACTATTCGAGCTAAACATCGCTTAACCCTCGCCCTGGCAGGGGGAGGGGTCGATGCGACTCCCCCCCCCCCCCTAAGGTTTTTCTTTTCGAAGTAGCGTAAATATTTGCCAAATTTGGCACAGCCTATGGGGCAACCATTTTACATATGACCTGAAAATTCAAGGTCCGGGTGACCTTGGGTCAGGTCAACAGGTCAGAAAAACCGGTACAAGGTCATGGTCAAATTTCAATCTTCTTTTTGCACCTGTCCAGCTCACAGTTTGAACTGATTTCCTTCAAACTTTTAGGGTGTGCTAAGTTCACTGAGTTGTATAACATATAGTTCGGGTTTTTCAGGTCACTGACCTGAGGTCAGTTGGAGGTCATTACGTCGTAATGCTAAGCCTATGGGAAAATACTAAATTCGGAAAATACTGGAGATATCCGCTTCGTTCTATCACTTTTGTGCTTTGAAACCACAGAACAGCAGGTCACTTGGTGCTTCTTTGTTTGGTGTACTTATCCATGGGTCAGGTCAAATGAGGTCAACTGAGGTGAAATGACGTTTTTGCCAATAACTTGGGACATAATGGCGCTAGAGCTTAAAAATGGTGTCATTGTGTTCCTCGCGATCAGCCGAATCGAATGATATGAGATATGATGCAATTTGGTTAACTTGAACGTAATTAATTAATTAAAGTCTACTTAAAAATTAAGAAAAACTTTAAGTACATTTAAGCAAGCTAAAAAGTACATCATTCGACGCGCCTTGACGTTCTGAGTTCACTGGTGCTTTTCTTTTTGCTCTATCTTAATTAGATCAACAGTTATAAGCGAAAAACTTTTGACCTGTTTTTAGCGAAATTTTTACATTTATACCCCCAAAAAAAACTAAATATTGACCTAGAGCAACCAACTTTGCACAGGGGCGAGAACTCCAGGGGTCCCACCTACCTACCAAATTTGGTGTTTCTAGGTGCCATAGGAGCCAATCGCAAGGGGGGGTCGCATCGACCCCCCCCCCCCTGCCAGGTCGTGTTATGAAAAATGCCCTCTGCCAGGGCGAGGGTTAAGGGACCTAAGTGCACGCATACCGACACTTCGCTAAAGGGCTCTCAGAGTTGAGCTATGGTTGACGGTTGAGCCTCCACTTTCTAAATCCTTTTTTTCTAATTAACTTACTTTGGATTGTTACGGTGTCTCCTTTTGACTGTGCCGTGTTTGACCTGTCGAATAAATCATCAACTAACTTTGAAGTGTCGTCTGAATACTTAACCCTTGCCGGACCTATTGGTTTTCTACATACGCGCCGGCCGAGGGGGGGGCGGGTACGACCCCCCCCCCCCCCGCCGTTTCGCCCCTAAAAGAGCTAGAGCATCGCGAAAAAAACGAGCGCGTCATTACGAGACGCAGCAACTGGTACCCGATTTTAAGGTCTCGGGTGAACCGGTGACCTCTGAGGTCAGGTCAAGTGGGCCGAGGCACGAGTTCAGTTTTGATGAATAACTTCGCGAAAAACGGCCGCAGAGCCGCGATTTTGGCATTATCGTATTTGCCTCGCTCAGGCGCGTCGAATGGTATACGTTGTATTCGGGTGAGGTCAACTTGAGATGCTAACCTCGGGTCAAGGTCAGGTCAGAGCCCCTCAGTTCACGAAATGGGTCGAATGAGGTCATATCGCAACTTATTCGACTCGGCAGGTTTTCCTGAGTCCACTGGTGGCTTTCAGGACTCACTAGATCAGGTTGATGGACAGTTGTTGACGAAAAACTGTTTGACCCTAGTAACGTCATAAAGGACGTCATGCAAGGTCAAATATGCAAAAGCAAGCATTGCACCTTGCAAGGAGTGCAAGAAATCACGATTCCGTGTGCTTAAGATAGTTTGAGATCGTTCCCGGTGCTCAAATAGCAGTTTTCATTTTATCCATTGACTTATTATCTAATGGTGAGGTCACATGACCGACCTGACCTCATGTGACGTTTAGGAAAAATCCGATATACACAAGCTGTGAGGCCTCTGGAGGATACTACGTCGTGTAGGTTTCATCTCCCTGTGAAAATTCCTCTGGCACTGAGCGTGTTGTGACTAGTTGCGACAGTTGAAGACCGTGCAGAGGCTCACATGTGACGTCATCCACATCAACCACATTTCCAGGATAGGTCAGTGACCTGACCTGTCCTGGAAATGTGGTTGACGTCACAAGATCCGGCTTGAGTCAAAGGTCAGGTATGCCAGCTCTCTATTTCCGGTATGTTCGGAGCTATTGTACTGAAAAGAACCTATGGGGGAGACACCCCCCTCCCCCCTCTTCTTCCCTTCGGCCGGCGAGGGTTAACCCTCGCATGCGTGCGGCGTTTGCCAGCTTCTAATGTGTAGGGGGGGGGGTCGGTTGGACCCCCCTGCCGTTTGGCCCCTGATCGAGCTAGAGCTTCGCGGAAAAAACGTGCGTGTTGCCCGTGACGAGAGGAAGCCGATGATACCCAATTTTAAGGTCCTAGGTCATTGGTTGACCTTCCAGGTCAGGTCAATGACCCAAAGTCGGGAAAATCGGGACCAATTAGAAAGTCGTAAAGTGTGGCTGCTAAGGGGTTTTTAGGGGTGCTAATCACGAATATCGTGTTAGTTTTGATCACAGATGATGTCTTTAAGCATTTAGACCAGGTCGGGTCAGGTCAGGTCAGGTCAACCAGTAGGGGTTGTGACGGGTATTTGTAGTAGGTACGTGTCAACCGCCTGTGGCAGCTTCGTAACATGTTACGAAGGCACCAAAACTACTTCGTAAATGTTCAAATGGTTGCTAAATTCGAATTCAGCTCCAAAAACTAGCCTAGCAACATGTAAAACTCGAAAAAGTGAACCGAGGTCACCCGAGGTCTCCAAAGGTCAGTGACCTGACCTGACCTTCAGGTGACCTTGACACCCACCCTAATGCATGGGAGCAACATCAAATCACATGTTTGAACGTTTGAAACCACGAAAAGCTTGCAAACGCGCGGCTAATGCGAGCCGACATACGCGGAATCGCGATTCCGGCCAAACATGGTCTCGGAAAAGAGGTCACAGGTCAAAGGTCATTTGGGTCAGGGTCATGAAATTTTCAGGGTAGGTGTAAAATTGATCAATGCGAGGGTACTGACAGTTTCGTCGCGATCGGTCGCTTTTTACGCGAGCTATTTGCGAAAAACATGGGGGGGTCCATCCGACCCCCCCCCCCTACACATGCGAGGGTTAAATCACAAGCCGAGACAGCATGAACTGCTCAGAAAAGGTCCTGACTCGTCTATCTATCGAACTCTACCAAGACTATCAACGGAAAACACTTCGATAAATCAAAGGCCAAAGGGACAACACGGAAACTGATGAAAGCTTGATATGCCCATGGTCCTGAATGAGATTGCAATGAAGGAACACTTTCTGCCAAACTATACAAGCATACTTATATCTATGCCTTATACAATCTTCTATATATAGGTGCCGTTCTTTATGTTGTTTTCTTTTTTATTGCTTCTATTCTATCATATGTTATGTTTTCTATTTCATTTTATTTTAAGTTATCTTATTTGATTTTTGCTTAACACAATAATTTTCCATCACTCTGTCATGTCTCTAAGACAATTTGCGGTCACAACAATGATAGCAGCCTAAGGATGACCAAGCATGACGTAAGTGGCATAATGTGGCGCGGGGTCACGTGTGCAATATTCTAATTCGGCCGCGCCGGGCCGGTGCTCTGAGATTCCGCGCCGGGCCGGGGGGTCTGAACACCCCCCCCCCCCTTCTAACTCGGCTCCTGAGCCAGGTAGTGACACGCAAAAAGCAGCAATCGAAAGAACGTCCAAATTAAGGACAAAAACACTTCAGTCATTTTTCGGGTCAGGTCAAAGGTCAGGTCACCAGAGGTCACCAAAGGTAAAATGTTGACTATTTCATCATTTTGAAAACTGCCGATGGCTATCTCAAGAACCGATAGAGCTACAGCGCCGTAGAAAAGCGCTTTCGATAGCCCTTTTACATACCTTTCTGATTAATGTTCTCAGATTTGACCTCAGGTCAACGGTTTAGCCCCCAGAGGGCAAAAACTCCAAAAATAGCCGATTTTACGGAAAATGTTTTTTGGCAATAACTTTTGACTCGAAAGACCTATGACATTACTTTTGCCAGCGTCGTATTCCTCTCGTCAAGACGCGTCGAATGAACTATAATTCGACCTTGAAAGGTCAACTTGAAAATTTGACCTCAGGTCAAGGTCATGACATGACCGGAAAAGGTCATGTTGCATATCAGTCGATCCGCAACGTCGAGCCGAACACATCTAAGGCGTTTTCAGCGCTCTAGCACGCCTCTATCAGAAGTTATTAGCAAAAAACTGTTAGATTCTGTTCGTGACCTGAGATAACATCGGGGGCATAACGGGGGTCACAGTTGCCATTTTCTGGTTCAGTGTGTCAATTTTACCTACATCTCGATGTTTGAGAGTGTCTAGAATAGCGTTCGTGCAAAACAGACGCTTTTCAATATTCTCCCATTGACTTATAATGGAGAGGCCGCAAAATTGACCTAACCTTAGGTCACCGATATCAAAATTCCAAGATATACATTTTATAGATAGTATTGCTTTTAACACGCGCAGTGGAAGGGTTGCGAGTACTACGCCCAGTGGAAGGGGGCGGATGTCGCCCCCCCCCCCCCTAAGATCTCAGCTCCCACTGGAGCTAGAAAGACGAAATTTGGAGGGTAGGTGGGGGCCCAGGGGAACTCTGTTGTGTGTGAATTTCATGACCCTAGGTCAATATCTTCAAGGTCAAATGAGGTCAAAAGTGGTCAAATCTTCCATATTAGCGACTTTTTTGCGTTTACACGCCGATAACTCAAAACGTTACCGGCTGATTTTCTTTTTTCTTTCACTGTACGAAAGAACATACATTTGTGAGTATGTATGGTGAATTTCTTGTTAATCCAACAATAAATATGGCAGTTAGAAGCCTGCTAAGCGTAAGATGTCGCCGGCTGAAGCGGGATCGGCGGACGAGGGAAACGCGGCAATCACAATTCTGTGTTTACACACTCATAACTCAAGTTGTTACCGGCCGATTTTCAAAATGTTTTGACCATAAGATTGCCTGTACATTTCTTAGTCTTCTCACAAAATTTGACGCGAATCCAACATAATCAGCGGTAAGGAGCGCGATGTAAAGACGGAACCGTCCCGCCCCGACACAGTCTACAACTCAGGCGGCGCGTAGCGGCTAGCGCCGGCCGCCGCGCCCCCACGCAGCCGCGGCGGCAGGATGTTTGACTTTACACCGCTATTACTAGAAAAGTTGTGACCCGATTTTTTTATTTCTTGCATGAGAAGATCCGCAGTTCAATTCTGGACAGAAAGCCAAAGTTGTTTCACATTAATATCATGTTTGCGGCGCGAGTTATTGGCGAAAAACAGGAGGGGTGGGCGAAATCCGCCCCCCCCCCCCCTTCCACTGCGCGTGAAAGTTTCAAGGCAATCGTTCAGTCTAGTCGGTGTAGCTATGACGAGCATTATTTTTTCTGAGGTGAGGTCACTTGGCGTGACCTGGTGACCTGACCTAAGGTGACCTGGGTCTGAAATTTTCACAACATGTGCGGAAAAGATGCACAAATAGGTGTGCCAAAAACCACAGGGAGGGGTGTTCAAACACCCCCCCCCCCGGCCCGGCGCGGGTTAAAAGTTTAGAAAGAATGGTCAAAATCAAGGTCATGTCAAAATGGCTTTCGCAAGGGAGAGCAAGACTGTCATTTTCCCCTATTGACCTATAATGGAGCGATGCCAAAATTGGCCTGACCATGAGTCACCATCCACCGATGTTGAAAATATCCGTGAATTCAGGTCAATTTTTGGTCAGTCCTGTCGTTTTCACTTGACGCTGAAGCCGAAAGTTTTTATCGTTCGGTGCTCGTTTTCTTGTCCCATCGATTGCCGATTTAAAAAGGCACATAAGAACTCCGAGATTGCGAATAGTTACACTGGTCAGGTGCAAAGCGTTTCGCAAAGAAGTTCTATATAAGCGAGTGATTACTCCTCTCCATTATAAGTCAATGGGAGAAAATTGAAAAGCGCCTGTTTTGCACGAACGCTATTCTAGACACTCTCAAACATCGAGATGTTGGTAAAATAGACACACTGAACCAGAAAATGGCAACTGTGACCCCTCGTTATGTCCCCGAGGTCATCTCAGGTCACGAACAGAATCTAACAGTTTTTCGATGATAACTTCTGATAGAGGCGTGCTAGAGCGCTGAAAACGCCTTAGATGTGTTCGGCTCGACGTTGCGGATCGACTGATATGCAACATGACCAATCCGGTCAGGTTATGACCTTGACCTGAGGTCAAATTTTCAAGTTGACCTTTCAAGGTCAAATTATAGTTCATTCGACGCGTCTCGACGAGAGGAACACAATGCTGGCAAAAGTAATGTCATAGCTCTTTTGAGTCAGAAGTTATTGCCGAAAAAACGTTTTTCGTAAAAACGGCTATTTTTGGAGTTTTTGCCCTTTGGAGGCTAAACCGTTGACCTGAGGTCAAATCTGAGAACATTACTCAGAAAGGTCTGTAAAAGGGCTATCGAATGCGCTTTTTTGCGGCGCTGTAGCTCTATTGGTTCCCGAGATAGCCGTTGGCAGTTTCCAAAATGTTGAAATAGTCAACATTTTACCTTTGGTGACCTCTGGTGACATGACCTTTGACCTGACCAAAAAAATGACTGAAGTGTTTTCGTCCTTATTTTTGACGTTCTTTCGATTGCCGCTTACCGCGTGTCACTACGTGGCCCAGGAGCCGAGTTAGAAGGGGGGGTGTTCAAACACCCCCCCGCGGCCCGGCGCGGAATTTCAGAGCACCGGCCCGGCGCGGGTTAATAGCTGAAGCTTCTTCATAGTTCATTAACACTATTAAACAGGAGCTTTCTTGTCTCATGCCTGAATGTATATGGATTTAAATCTCGCCCGTATTGGCGTTTTGTCAGCCGCTAACGTATAGGGGGGGGGGGGCGTTGCCCCCATTGCCGTTTGGCCGCTGATCGAGCTAGAGCTTCGCGAAAAAAACGAGCGTGCTGCCCGTGACGAGAGGAAGACGATGATACCCAATTTAAGGTCCTAGGTCATTGGTTCATGGTTGACCTTCCAGGTCAGGTCAATGACACAAAAGTCGGGAAAATTGGGACCTGTTAGAGCGTCGTAAGTGTGGCTGAGCTTTTCCGGGGTGCTGATCACGAATATCGTGTTAGTGTTGATCCCAGAAGAATGATATCTTCATGCATTTAGGCCAGGTCGGGTCAGGTCAACCAGTAGTGGTCCTGCCGGGTATTCGTAGTACGTGTCAACCGCCTCTGACAGCTTCGTAACATGTTACGAAGGCACCAAAAGTACTTCGTAAATGTTCAAATGGTTGCTGAATTCGAGTTCAGCTCCAAAAACTAGCCTGGAAACATGTAAAACTCGAAAAAGTGAACTGAGGTCATCAAAGGTCAATGACCTGACCTGACCTTCAGGTGACCTTCACACCCATCCAAATGCATGGGACCAACATCATATCACATGTTTGAACGCTTGAAACCACGAAAAGACTGCAAACGCGCGGCTAATGCGAGCCAACATACGCCGAATCGCGATCCCGGCCAAACATGGTCTCGAGAAATAGGTCACAGGTCAAAGGTCACTTGGGTCAGGGTAATTAAAGTTTCCGGGTAGATGCAAAATTGATTAACTCGAGGGTACTGAAAGTTTCGTCGCGATTAGCCGTTTTTACGCGAGTTATTCGCGAAAAACCGAGGGGGGTGGGGTCTGTTCGACCCCTCCCCCTATACGGAGGAGAGTTAACAGAGAAAAACACAATTTCCCCTTACCTGTACTTGTTTTTGAAGTGTTTCAAGCGTCATTTTGAGAAGGTGCTTTATTCAGTTAGGGGGTGCATGTGCACCCCTAAAACCCCTAATGCTCCACCATATGTCACTAACTAAACCCACTATTTGAAGTTATACTTAATGACACATGGGTAGTTTTCATTCAACATAGTAGGATAATTAAGCATTAAATGCAAAATTAGAGCTTGAGATTGTCCGGCATTTAGCCCAACAGGATACCTCTTCAATCGTCCTATAGTCTGTTCCATATCAAGCTTGCAGTTGGAGTTTCTTCGGCAGGTCGCTCCTCCGCTCAAGAATTCGCGTCTTAAAATGTAAGAGCTGTATGTACAGAAATCACGCACTTCTTTCAGCAGGGCACTTCGGCTGCAAACTTGAAACGGAACAGAGTATAGCTCAAGGCGTATAGCTGAACCCAGCATAAGCTCAGCTTGTCTGAACTCGGACACACCATCAACATTGCCGAGTCTGAATTTGAGCTCGACGCCGGGCCATGGGCCTGAAATTTGTGGTCATGGGCGCGGGAGCTGGGGTCAGTGGGGGCAGCCTGCCCCCACAACTCTGGGGCCGTGGGGGCGCTGCCCCACAACTTTTCATAGGGCTAGGAACCGTCGGGGCAGCTTGCCCTCCCTGAATTAGCGGTTGTGGGTCACAAAGGAAAACTAAAGGGAAGAAAACATTTAAGAAAAAATCCCCCTCTTTACCTGGCTTGACAGCTCATGTGGAAGATTTAAGCCTTTATTCTACGTTACCAAAAAGGTAGTTCCTTGACTCAGCTGAGACAAAATATCTCACTTTTTGCAAATGTTTTTGTTTCGTTTTTTCGATGAAAAGGCGAAGGGTGAAAAATAAGTGGCCTAAAACCGGTGAGAAAACTAGATTTGGGGGTACCCTAGGTTTGGCTAGTCCCAACCGGTTGCCCCCCCCCCCCCCAAGACGGCCGGCTGGATCCGCCCTTGAATATCATAAGCATTCTGATCAGATGCTATTCTATAACTCTTACATATAGTCAGGCAGCCTAATGCGACCTCTGAAACTATACATATATGATTATGTATGTAAGTGGCAGTGTGTGCCCTACACGATGAATGTCCCAAACAAATCCAGCATTCCATACTTTTACTTGGGCTAAAGGGGATGAGCTCTCACAGGAAACGTTTACTGGTAAGCAAACTAAAGCGTTAACGCACTTACACGTATGCGCTTGCGTATGCGTATAGAATGTGGTGCGCTGATGGTACATGATGCTAAATGTCTGCATTTTTTCAGGAATTCACCTGGCTGACGAAGATGGGTCTCACCAGAATGATGCTGGTGACAGCCGTGGTGATGGCTCTTCTAACGGTGAGGCGACACTATTTCTGCCCAGCTGTGTTCAACGACGTATTTACTTTTCATACCCTTCGCGTGCCTTCTTTATCTTTTAAAGGGACAGTATCATCGAAAAAAAAATCCATGTATGGAGCTGATTTTTTTTTTACTAGCATTTCTTATTTTTCTGAATCACAAAAACATAGTTTGAGGAGCGAACTCGGTGAAAAATATTGCAACCACATTTCATTTTCATGATTCATTTACATGAGCGAACCACCACTATACAAGCATGGCCGCCAGTTTGGAAGCATGCAAAATTACTACAGAACTGGCGCAGATAATACATTATTGACGCTACGCTTACGCGGTCGTTCTTCTGATTGAGTTGTCCTTAGGGAGAGGTAGCCTTAGGTATTGCCTATAAAAATATAACGTGACAATTGGAGGGAGTGACAATTGGACGTGACAATTGACAATGGGAGAAAATATCACGTGACAATCACGTGATAAACGTCATACATTGGAGGGAGATTGTGATTCAAGCTGGAGGAATTCCTTTGTTGAGCCGCTAGAATCCGAAGGAAACAGCGGAAATTGCCTACGACTATTTAATGAATTTAACGGTGATGAATAAGTGCGAAAAACGTTTTGGCTTTATAAAATTTGATGAAATGACCAGGGTAAAAGTTTTATTACTGGCGGTCAATTCAAAACGGCGCAAACATTTAAACAGTGAAGATAGTGAAGCACGATTCAAAGCAATTCAAAGTGTGGTACACTTTTCGTACTTTGAGCGGCGATAGCGGGATAACGGTGTGGAGCTTCGAGGATCGGTCTTCAGTTCCCGGACCAGAAAGGTGGGGCCTATGCAATGTCAAATTTCATCAAAATGGTGATACTGTCCCTTTAATGACGGCTGATGTTGTTTTACAATTTACTCACTGTTAGGTACCTATGACTCGAAATGTTGAGGCATTTTTATCGATTTGTGCAGTCCCAGCCATGAAAGAAAAAGCCAATGTTTCATGGGTTACCTAAATGGATCAAACGCACGTCTCCGTGGTCTGAAATGTACATATCTCTTTCTCATTGAATGTTGAATTCGGTGTCTTAGTAATTCGGTATATGATACAGTGCTAAAATCCGTCCTGTCCATGCCCCCTCCCCCCAATAAAACTGGAGCTGAGGCCAGTTTTATCAACAGAAAAATAGCCGCTGCCGGAATTCTTTGCCTAAATACCATTTCACATATGGAGTTTAAACGGTGAAACCCTATCCGCTTACGTGCGAATCGCGTTTTTATGTGAAACGTCCCTTAGGCAAAAAATTCCGGCAGGCGGCTATTTTTCTGTTGGTAAACCTGGCCTATGATTTCATTGGCAAAACCAATGGAAGGGGAGGAAACAGGTGGTCTCACCCCAATCTCTATGTTTTTTTATTTATTCGTTTAAAAACTCAACTTTAAATGATGTTTACATTTATCCCAACATTCAAGCCATATAGTTCCTGCCTGTTTTTAATAATAAGGATGTGTCTAAAAGTACCTGGATGGCAGATGTAGTCTTCTTGTTTTTCGTCAAGTTGCAATTCCTAGGTGGCATTTTACGTCATCACTGAATGAGTAAGGACCTATCTGGAAAACTAACCGATGTGAGGTCACAGTCATCATATTGATAGTCAACATCCGGTTGACTGGAGATTCCGATAACCTTACCGGTTTCATGTAGCTAATCAGAGTGTTAAACCACGACTCATGCCGGTGGGAATTACGAAAGCATGCCTGTGGCGTGGTCGATAGCAAGGTGTCACAGAGGCCGGCTGGGGCCGGCTGAGGGTCTCCGATAGTGAGATATCGGGAGAGATTGTCTATCTGCGTCAGTGTGCGCCACTGGGAGACAGCGCGGATAGACGGCCACGCAGTTCACCGTGAAGTGTGTACAGATTATTCCGTATAGTGAGGAACTCCTTAAATATCGACAGGACTTGGGACGAGAACAAAGGTCAAGGTTAATAATGCAGCACCGATGTTGTCAGGCTATGATAGCAAAATGATCCGACATCGGTGACAAGTGGCTATGACACGTGAATATGACTGACAGGTACTTGAATTGCGCACATTGCCTGGCAACCGCGTGTCCAACAGCCACGAATACCTATATATATTACAATGTGGGCATAAGACGTAAAAGAGAACACGATAGACTTCTCGCCGGGGTAAACCGAACGCCGCAATAATACGAAATAAGCGAAAGAAATAAAAGAAGTGCCCACTTTTCGCCGCTACCGATAGGGATTCAGCCGTCAAAAAATATCGAAACTTTGTGTAAAACACCTTTTTGTGTAGCATGAAGGGGTTAAGGCGGTAACACGCGATTGCGTGGCGCCAAATTTAAGTGGGGTAGACAAAAAAGAGTTCAGCAACTGCGAGATCAATGCCATCTGTAATTGGATACCTACCAATGAAGACTCACAGGCAGCACTTGGAACTACTTTATGACATGCTTAGCGAATGGTACTGTGAGGCAACGTATAGCCTAGCGAGGTTAGCTTATTTAGTGCGATTAGGGTACTTTTCTGAAAAGTTTCACGCCACATTTTTTTGCCATAGACACAGTAACCCGCGCCGGGCCGAGGGTATTTGAACGCCCCTCCCCCCTGTGGTTTTTCGCCGATATCTCAAAAACCGCAGCGTGGAGCGCCGCCATTTTTGGCACAATTGTCTGTGTATCTTTTCCGCACATTTTGTGAAAATTTCAGACCCAGGTCGCCCAAGCTCGGGTCACCAGGTCACGTCAAGTGACCTCACCTGAGAAAAAATAGGATTGCTCGTCATAGCTACAACGACTGAAAGATTGCTTTGAAACTTTCAGGGAGTGATAAGAGTAACAGCATCTATAAAATTGATACCTCGGAATTTTGATATCGGTGACCTAAGGTTAGGTTAATTTTGCGGCCTCGATCCATTATAAGTCAATGGGAGAAAATTGAAAAGCGTCTGTTATGCACGAACGCCATTCTAGACACTCTCAAACATCGAGATGCAGGTAAAATTGATACACTGAACCGGAAAATGGCAACTGTGACCCCTCGTTGTTTCCCCGAGGTCATCTCAGGTCACGAATAGTATCAAACAGTTTTTGCTAATAATTTCTGATAGAGGCAGACTTGTGCCAAGATCCCAAAAAGATCCAGAATCCAGGATCTGCAGCATCCATGATCCGGGATCTTGAGGGATCTTGGATCCAGCACTTCAGGTTTTGCATAGGGATCCTGGGGATCTCTGGTCATCATTTTGTCGAGGGACCTTAGGGATCTTGGATCCTTTTTTGAGGGATCCTGGGGATCTTGGATCCTGGTTTTAACAGGAATATTTTACACATCAGACTAACATGATTAAATGCCTACCAAACCTATATATTGCTAGCAAATTCAAATCTACTGAGGATGAATATCTAGCCAGGAAACCAATGTGCAAAACATTAACATGGTGTACAACTGTTAAACTCACTTTATACTGGAAGGAAGACATACTCTACTAACTAAGGTGCTCGAGGTTTCAAAGTATATATCAGCATTTAGCATAAACACAACATAGCTTTGTGAGCCGTACTATTAACTGGATTATTTGCCAGCTGGCGTCGTATGTTGGTGCAAGCAGAGCTTGTTATATATCAATGATAGATATAAAGTTTGGTCGGTATCAGTTTGGCATTAGTTTCGAAGATTTCTTAAATTTACATCACAAACATGTACATCAAAAAAATTCTGAAATTTACATCACTGGCATTAGTACATGTCCATTTAACATGTTAGTGCTTTTCCATGGTTAGAACTGAGTCAGTTGCAGTCTGCAGTTACAAATAACAGATGAAACATCATATGTACATTATCCCGCGCGGGGCTGGGGGGTAAATTGTACCCCCCCCCCCCTCGCGAATTTTTGCGATATCTCAAAAACGGCGGCGCGCAGCGCCGCCAAACTTCCAGTACCTTTTCTTACATGAATTTGACACGTTCCCTTAAAATTTGAGCGAAATCCGTCGGAAAATTTTTGAGAAATTGACGTTTTAGTGACGTCATGTTCGCCATTTTCGCCTAAAAAACGGCAAAAGTTCAAACGCCGCTAACATCTTCATTTTTAAAGGAATCAAGACGTAACAAAAAAGGTTATACGTAATTTTACTTTGTCTATCAAATGGCTATCTCGGTTTTTTGAAAATTTTGGATTTTGGCCTAATTTTTTTCAAAAGTCTGATTTTTTTGGGAAAATCATTATAAAATCCAAAATTTTGAGTCTATCGAAAAAAACGGAATACATGTCAGAGAAGTGGTCTATGTGCACCTACATACCAAATTTTAGAAGAATCGGTTCAAAAATGTGGGAGTTATTCAAAATTTTATGACGTCACGACACACAAATTTTTTGTAAAAATGACTTTTTTGGAAGTTCTAGACCTCGTAAGGAAAGAAAAATAGCACCATTCGATTCGCCGTGAAAAACTGCATCAGATAGACACCTTTTTAGGCCTTAACAACCAACTTCAAAATTTGACCTCACTTGACCTGACCTTGACCTGACCTCGACCTGAAATTCATCCAGAGGTGGTCCATATCACTTATTGAGTGTGCCTATTGAATTCTATGAGTAAAATGACCCATAAAACATGTGTCGCACATGCCCTTTTCTATATTTTGTTTTTTGGTGACCTGACCTGACCTGACCTGACCTTGACCTTGACCTCTGAATGATATTGTATGCAACGAATATTGTCTTGGTAGCCTAAGAACACGTTTTGGGCGATCAGTCTCAGTCCATGACTCCATTCTTCGGCAACTACGGTGCAAGGCCGATACTGTATAAACTTTCAATTTGTACCCTTGACCTGACCTTGACCTTGACCTCAAACTTTAAATTAAGTACATGTTTTTAGTAGTTCGTGATGAGAGCTTTCGATTGGCGTTTGAATTTTCCAAATCGGACCATTAGTTCGGGAGATAACAGGGGGGGGGGTAAAATTTACCCCCCCCCCCCAGCCCCGCGCGTTTGGCTGGAGACCCCAGCCTCGCGCGGGTTATTATTGTGCGTTGAATCTTGTGAGTTGTGGATCTTGGATCCTATAATTTTGATATTGCTCGGGATCTTGGAGATCTTGGATCGTGAAAGTCTGATCTTACGCGGGATCTTGTGGAACTTGGACCCTAATATTTTGAATTTGCGTGGGATCCTGGGGATCTTGAATCTTGCAATGTGATTTTGTATGGGATCTTGGGGATCTCGGATCCTTAAATTCTGAAATTGTGTGGGATCTTGCGGATCTGGGAACTTGATTTTTTGTCGAGGCACAAGTCTGGATAGAGGCATGCTAGAGCGATTAAAACGCCTTAGATGTGTTCGGCTCGACGTTGCAGATCGACTGATATGCAACATGACCTTTTCCGGTCAGGTCATGACCTTGACCTGAGGTCATTTTTTTCAAGTTGACCTTTTAAGGTCAAATTATACTTCATTCGACGCGTCTTGACGAGAGGAACACGATCCTGTCAAAAGAAATGTCGAGGCTCTTTTGAGTCAAAAGTTATTGCCGAAAAACTGTTTTCGTAAAAGCGGATATTTTTTAGTTTTTACACTCTTGAGGCTAAACCGTTGACCTGAGGTCAAATCTGAGGACTTACTAGCAAAAGAACGTTAAAAGAGCTATCGAATGCGCTTTTCCGCGGCGCTGTAGCTCTATCGGTTCCCAAGTTAGCCGCGGGCAGTTTCCAAAATGTTGAAATAGCCAACATTTTACCTTTGGTGACCTCTGGTGACCTGACCTTTGACCTGACCTAAGAAATGACTGAATGTCTTCGTCCCGATTTTGGCCGTTCTTTCGAATGCCGCTTACCGCGTGTCGCTACGTGGCCCAGGAGCCGAGTTAGAAGGGGGTGTTCGGACATCCCTCCCCGGCCCGGCGCGGAAGTCGCGGAGCACCGGCCCGGCGCGGGATAACATAGACAATAATTGAAAACTGTTCATGCTACAAAAAAGTATTTTTCTGGATTGAATTAGCTCGTCTGATTTTCGCCAGAGGCCTCGGTTATGATCGAAGCCTTAACCCGCGCAACGACGGGGGTCTGCGCCAACTTAGAACCGACGGGGGGGGGCGGTTGACCGCCCTCCCCCTGAGATCTCGAGAACGAAGCAAAATGGCATGGGATACGCACGGACAAGGTCTACAATTTTTACGAAGGTCATTTTCAGGTCAGGTCAAAGATGACATCACAGGGGTCGAAAAAGTCAAAATGGCGGCGCTAGATATGGAGTTTTTTTTTCTCTCAAATAACTTTCGAACTAATCAAGATAGGAACAAACTAAGAGCATCATCGTGATCCTCCTGTCAATTCGCATCGAATGATATATATGTTGACCTCGAAAGGTCAAGGTCAAAGGTTGACCTCAGGTCACGTGACCTCGAGGTCATCATGTATATCATTCGATGCGCCTTGACGAGCTGAACACAATAAGACCATCCGCGCGGCTTTATCTTGTTCCTGTACGGAGTTATTGGCAAAAAACCTTTGGTGACCTTTGATGACGTCACATGACCTTACAGCTGCCCAACAGCAAAACAGACCTCAAGGTAGTGAAGTTTGATCGTATATGAAGTCTTGTATGGTTTATGGGGCCATTCCGACCCGTTTTAGTGTTAAAAACAGGGAGATGATTTTTCCCCCATTGACTTATAATGGGGGGGTCGAGAATTTGACCTGACCTTAGGTCATCGATATCAAAATTCCGAGACAAACAAATTGTAGCTACCAAAGACCTCATAACATCCTGCGACTTTCAAAGGCCTCCGACATTTACTGTAGCTCTGGCACGGTGACAAAGTTGCAAAAAAGTGACTTGAGGTTGGGTCATTCAAAGCGACCTTGTGACCTGACCTTAAAAGGTAGGAGGTTCAAACTCGCACACCATGTGTAAAATTATTGAGAGAATAGTCGTGTCAAATTTCGCGGCGCTACGCGCAGCGGTTTTCCTGCTATCTACGAAAAACCTCAGGGGGCGGATATCCGCCCCCCCCCCCCCGTCGGTGCGCGGGTTAATTCGTCCATCTCCATTGTCATTGGCCAGTTCTGCCCCTTTGTGGGAGGTAGAGAATGACGGGTTCAACAAATGCGCAACTCGCCATCGCCAAATGCTGGTGTAAAAATAAAAAATGGGCACAGAACAGCCAAGTTTCCATCCTGTGAATTTCACCGAGTCATAAATTTTACGGCCTAACACCCCGATACCACAATACCCAACACCCCCAGACCCTAACCTGCGGCGCTTGCTGTCGTCGACCTGATGTCGACAGGCGCGCGCGTCGGCAGGCCACTGCCGCTGGTACGGAATCTGCGGTACCCACGCCACCATCATGGGCTCCCACTCCAACTGTCCCTATGAAGGACCGGCCAAGCTGCTCAACGACACCAAGTCGCTCACCACGCTGAAAGACATCTGTCCCTTCTTCTGGGAGGGGAAAGGTAAGCCGAATGTAGGACAGCTCCACAGGTCTGGACTGTCTGAAACTTTTGGCGGATGAGCTTCACGAATCACTTAAAAGCAGCATAGCAATTTCATGAGCTTTCATTGCGTCTACATACCTAAAAATTTTGCAGGCTGCACGCTCCTGAGCGCTGTTTTGTCTCAACCTCCGGTCCACCACAGACCCTGACGAGGAGCTGGAGCTCTGCTGTGACCCGGTGGGTCTCAATGTACACCTCCTGTCCACCACAGACCCTGACGAGGAGCTGGAGCTCTGCTGTGACCCGGTGGGTCTCAATGTACACCTCCTGTCCACCACAGACCCTGACGAGGAGCTGGAGCTCTGCTGTGACCCGGTGGGTCTCAATGTACACCTCCGGTCCACCACAGACCCTGACGAGGAGCTGGAGCTCTGCTGTGACCCGGTGGGTCTCAATGTACACCTCCTGTCCACCACAGACCCTGACGAGGAGCTGGAGCTCTGCTGTGACCCGGTGGGTCTCAATGTACACCTCCTGTCCACCACAGACCCTGACGAGGAGCTGGAGCTCTGCTGTGACCCGGTGGGTCTCAATGTACACCTCCGGTCCACCACAGACCCTGACGAGGAGCTGGAGCTCTGCTGTGACCCGGTGGGTCTCAATGTACACCTCCTGTCCACCACAGACCCTGACGAGGAGCTGGAGCTCTGCTGTGACCCGGTGGGTCTCAATGTACACCTCCGGTCCACCACAGACCCTGACGAGGAGCTGGAGCTCTGCTGTGACCCGGTGGGTCTCAATGTACACCTCCTGTCCACCACAGACCCTGACGAGGAGCTGGAGCTCTGCTGTGACCCGGTCAACATCGCCGAAATGGAGGCCTCGTTGGTGCTGGCCTCCTCGCAGCTGGTCCGCTGTCCCACGTGCTACTACAACTTCCGCAGGTCTATCTGCGAGATGTCCTGTTCGCCCAACCAGTCCGACTTCATTGACGTTACAGAAACGGCCGTCGACGCAACAAATAGTAAGCTGGATGACGATGAAATTGGACTTTATCCAAATAATGTGCAATGCGGAGTTAAGGCATTATTCATTTTTTAAGTTTAAAGAGGACCGAATAACGGGCATTATTAATAACTAACTGACGCATTATTCTTACCAAACTCCTACTGGGTGATATGAATTGGCCGCGTGGGTCGGCAGACGAGACGTACCTGGTGCGCGTATCGTACTACATCCACGAGAACTACACCCACGGCGTGTACGACACGTGCTCCGGCGTGCAGAACGCGCAGACCAACTCGCCCGCGTTCGGCACCATGTGCGGCGAGTGGGGCTGGTACCTGTGCACGCCAGAAAGGTAAGCACTGCACGTGCCATATAACTTTACTCTCACTCTTGAAAAGTGGCGTACTCGTGCACCCCGAAATGTCAGAGCTCGTGTGTCCCGAAAAGGTATGGGCAATTACTGCTCGTACTCGATCGTAGCTGTAACTCTGTCAGCAGCTTTGAGATAGGATACCTATATGACCATCGCGGCTCGTTCTGGCAGGCTGTACGACTTCATGGGCCACAACACGTACGCTCCGTTCATGATCGACTACGTCTACGGCAAGGACGGCATGGACGTGGCGCCGTTCAAGTTCCTCAACCCGCCCATCATCTCGTGCAACAGCAGCATCACAAACCCGTTCGGAGTAAGTGATCTGCATTCTGCACTTACACCGTAAACGTAATCCTTTATCGGGGAAATCCACACCGGGATCAGACATTCTGTCGTCCGCGGCTGCACAGAGGTCGGAGCCAGTACGATTTTCTAGCCGTGGTGTTTGGCTTCTACTGAAGGGATGAAGTCTTCTGCACACAGCGCAAGAAAGCCTTCGTCGCGTAAACCTACCCAAATTAACCCTCGCCCGCACATGCCATTTTCCCATCCTAGAACGCACATGGGGGGGGTGGCTGCCACCCCCCCCGCGCCATTTCGTTCCTGTTGGAGATAGAGCTTAGCAGTAAAGACCAAAAAGATTCTTTGGGAAGAGACGAATCCAATGATACCCAGTTTTACCGTTTCAGGTCAGTCATTGACCTTCCAGGTCAGGTCAAACTAAAAAATGTTGCTGTTTTGGGTCACCGTTGCATATCAAGTGTGCTGCTTATCAAATACCGATGACGATGCTGTTTTCTGGTGCCAAGCCAGCTAGAACCTCTTTGTCACACTACCCGACCAGAATTTTGCTGCTGAGGTCATTTCAGGTCAAGTTAGGTCAAGGTCAATTATATGTGTTTGTATGTCTGTGTGTGTCTGTGTGTATACTGATGTGTGCACCGATTGTTTTTGGGTCCATATTACATGAAATCATGATCTGAGAAGCTTTTACCAAAAATGCAGTCAAAAAACTTCAAAAAAAAAGTAAATTCAACTTGCCTAAAACGCAATTATCTTAGATGACCTAGGTTGACCTTGACCCTGACCTTGCCCCTGTACATCGTCGAACAACATGTTCCATGATAGGTGGGAGGTAAGACTGGCAAAAAAGGCCGAAATCAGGGTGTCAAAAGCTCATAAGGCCCATGGCAAACGCAAGATGTTGAGAATTGGCCATTTGGGTCATGGCATGACCTGAAAAACAAGGTCATATCTCCGAAACCAAAAATCACAGAAACTTGAAATTTTCAGTGGACATCAAGAAAGGATAGAGGAGCAGCTATACGAAAAATCAGCCTTCTAGCTCTAAAAATGTTGAGTGCAGAGCAGAAAGACTACCTGGGGGGGGTGGCAACCCCCCCCCCCCCCATGTGCGGGCGAGGGTTAAGTTTCGAGCTAAGCTAAGTGTTGCCCCAAAAGGTGGGTGAAGAACATGAGTGACGAGCTTGGTTTGCGGTAAATAGCGTTTTTAGAAAAAAGAGCTGGCATCAGTTTTATTAGGGTCAAACAAATTTCTTGTTATTTTGTCGCATCCTGGCGAATGATAGGTACCAGTAGGTATGTACGTACAGGTCTCGCGAGATTAAGCGATAGGTTTTGCACTTTTACATTTCCGGTTATATCTCAGAAACTAATCGATCTACGATGAAGCCATTTTACACGATCATGGCCGGCTTGTTATCCAACAAGTCGATCGCATCTTCAACACTTAAAAGTTTAAGACGACGAAGATATAGCCGAAGGACACTAAATTCTCTAGGTGCAAAACCTACCGCTAAAACCCGCGAGACCTGTACATTCATCGCATTTGTTTCTTTCTACTTTCACATGATTGGAATCAGACGTCTGTAACCGAACAGTACATGAACATATATGAGCTATAGGTATTCATATTCATCAAAAAGTTTCTGTCTACCAAATACTCATAACTGTAAAGTGTGTGATGTATACTGTATGCAGTGCCAGAGCCACACCACCTAACCGCGGTGCGATTCCGTGCCGGCGCCCGCAGAAGTCGATCGACGCGTGCAGCTGCACGGACTGCGTGCAGTCGTGTCCGGTGCTGCCGCCGCTGCCGGCGCCCAGCGGACCGTGGATGGTGGGCGCCGTCTACGGCACCGTGGTCGTCATGGTGGCCGTGTTCGCCGTGATGACACTGCTGCTGATCGTCTGCGTCAGTCTCTGGGAGCGCCGCAGGACCGGTGAGAGGGGGAGGGAGAGAGAGAGAGAGAGAGAGGGAGAGAGAGAGAGAGAGAGAGGAGAGAGAGATAGAGAGGGAGTGAGGCAGGGAGGGAGGAGGGAGGAAGGGCAGGAGAGGGAGACGACACTACCTATAACTATTGACTGAAAAATTACATGTGAATTAGTGTCGCTATACCATTATCAACTGCGCTCTAACGTGGCAGACCAGACTTCAGCCCGAGGCTATCCTAGAGATATCAGCAGTTGATGAGACATGAAATTCCTTTAGCTATACATAAAGCGCAGCATGAACACGGGCGGCTGTTCAGCAATGACACCGACGTGGCATGTAACTCTTCCACTTTCTGTGCGCAGCCTCCCACTTTGAGAATAGCGCACCGAAGCTGGCCGACGGCTATGAGGTGGACATCGGCGAGCCGTCGCGAATGGAGCGTTGGGGCGCCATCACCGACCGCACCCTCGTCAACCTCTTCACACACGTCGGAACGTGTGAGTCTGCCACCGGCTGCCTGTCTACTCTGTTCTTACCTGCTCATCATCTAGCCTAACCTGTCTAACTAGCCGTTCACCGCCACTGGTGTGGGTCGAACCGAATTCAGCCGACGTCGTGTGGATCTGAGCAGGGTAGACACGTTTAACGTCAGACTTATTCCGTGGGGCTATGGCCTAGCTTTCATGTGTCCTATTGATATTATATAGGATTGATATTCCTATTTTAACCTATGTTTTCTGTAGACCAAAAACATGGCCGTTTTATCATTTACCTGTATTAACCCGCGCACCGACGGGGGGGCGGATATCCGCCCCCCCCCCTGAGGTTTTTCGCGGATAGCGGGAAAACCGCGGCGCGTAGCGCCGCGAAATTTGGTATGACTATTCTCTCATCAATTTTACACATGGTGTGCAAGTTTGAACCTCCTAACTTTTAAGGTCAGGTCACCAGGTCACTTTGAATGACCCAAACTCAAGTCACTTTTTTGCAACTTTGTCACCGTGCCAGAGCTACAGTAGATGTCGGAGGCCTTTGAAAGTCGCAGGATGTTATAAGGTCATTAGTAGCTACAATTTGTATATCTCGGAATTTTGATGTCGGTGACCTAAGGTCAGGTCAATTTCGCGACCTCCCCATTATAAGTCAATGGGGGAAAAATCAACTCCCTGTTTTTACCACTAAAACGGGTCGGAATGGCCCCATATACCATACGTGACTTCACATACGATCAACCTTCACTACCTTGAGGTCTGTTTTGCTGTTGGGCAGCTGTAAGGTCATGTGACGTCATCAAAGGTCACCAAAGGTTTTTTGCCAATAACTCCTTACAGGAACAAGATACAGCCACGCGGATGGTCTCATTGTGTTCAGCTCGTCAAGACGCATCGAATAATATACATGATGACCTCGAGGTCACGTGACCTGAGGTCAACCTTTGACCTTGACCTTTCGAGGTCAACATATATATCATTCGATGCGGATTGACGAGAGGATCACGATGATGCCCTTAGTTTGTTCCTATCTTGACTACTTCGAAAGTTATTCGAGAAAAACCCTCTCCATATCTAGCGCCGCCATTTTGACTTTTTCGACCCCTGTGACGTCATCTTTGACCTGACCTGAAAATGACCTTAGTAAAAATTGTAGACCTTGTCCGTGCGTATCCGATGCCGTTTACCGCTTGTCGCTATCTTGCTTCGTTCTCGAGATCTCAGGGGGGGCGGTCATCCGCCCCCCCCCCCCCGTCGGTACTAAGTTGGCGCAGACCCCCGTCGGTGCGCGGGTTAAGGTAATGCAAGAAATTAACCCTCGCCCTGGCAGGCCATTTTTCATAACACGGCCTGGCACCCCCCCCCCCCTCTCGCGATTGGCTCCTATGGCACCTAGAAACACCAAATTTGGTAGGTAGGTGGGTTCCCTGTAGTCTCGCCCCTGTGCAAATTTGGTTGCTCTAGGTCAATATTTAGGGGGGTTTGGGGTTGAGGGTATAAATGTAAAAAATTCGCTAATAATAGGTCAAAAGTTTTTCGCCTATACTTTTTGATCTAATTAAGGTAGAACAAAAGAAAGCACCATGTGAACTCAGCACGTCAAGGCGCGTCGAATGATATACTTGTTTGCTTGCTTAAGTGTACTTAAAAGTTTTCCTAAGTATTAAGTAAACTTTAATGAATTAATTAAGTTCAAGTTAACCAAATTGCATCATATCCCGCGCCCCGTTGAGGTTTGGCAGGTTCCACGTCCTGTTGGGGGGAAGGGGGACCAAAGGGTCTCCCTCCCCCCGTCGTATCTCCGGAACCAATAGCCGGATCGGAAAAACTCAAACGGCAATCGAAAGAGCTCATCGAGATGCACAAGATAGGATATCGATGACCTTGATATTTGGCCTTTGACGTCACAGGGAGGTCAAATAAGGTCAAATCAGTCCAATTGGCAATGACGAGAAGTTGGTCATAAAAATGAAATCTAAGTTTTCAAAATGGGTCTGGATATGAGGTATATGATAGATCTGGCATGTGGATAGTCACCCAAGTGGATGATGACCTGTGACGTCACAACAGGGGTCAGCCTCGACCAATCAGAAAACACATTGGTGAATCGTTAGGAAAGGCATGTTAAATTGTGAATATTCGAGTCTTTATGAAGACATGTCTGATGTCATATATATATATATATATATATATATATATATATATATATATATATATATATATATATATATATATATATATGCATCCTCAGAAACCTCCTTGACCATTTTTCTTGCACCTATGACGTCACAGGAAGGTCAAATAAGGTCCAATTGTACCGGTTTACAACAAAAAACAACTTTTTACGTAAAAGTGACTTTAGTCACGTAAAGGATCATATTCAGTCAGCAAGGGGTTGATAAGAATCATAAATATTACTCCTGACTGATTTCAAGCACAAATACCGAAAATGTTGTGACGTCATAAGAACAGTCTCTACTTTTTCAGTCATTCAAATTGCTATATCTCAGGCAGTTTTAGAGATAGTTTGTTTATTTTTGGCATGTGTAAGGCTAGTAGGGAGTTCTGTAACATATATTCCGCTTTTTTGAAAATTTCCCCAAATTTCAAAAATATCTCAAGAAATCTAAATTTTTAGTTAGAAAATCCCTAGATCTAGAGATTTTAATATTTTGGAATTTTCGAGATAGCCATTTTGTTTGCCATACTTTTAATACCTACGGTCTAATTTTTGAGTCGCTTAGTTGCAACCGATTTTCTGCGATTTTTCTCCGTGAGCAACTTTTTCGACGAAAAATCGCCGAACATGACCTCAGTTTGACCTCTATAGCTCGTGACCTGAGATGACCTGGGACCTAATTTTTTCAGTTGTGTAAAATTGATATCCGGAGAGGTACTGAAAGTTTCAAGTCGAAATTCGCAACCGTTTCTGAGTTATCTTCAAATAACCACAGGGAGGCCCTTTGCCCCCCCCCCCCCCCCAACGGGTCGCGGGATATCGCATATCATTGGATTCGGCTGATCACCAGGAACACAATGACACCATTTTTAAGCTCTAGCGTCATTGTGTGCCAAGTTATTGGCAAAAACGTTATTTGACCTCAGTTGACCTCATTTGACCTGACCCATGGTTAAGTACATACGCTAAATAAAAAAGCACCAAGTGACATGCTGTTCAGTACTGTGGTTTCAAAGCACAAAAGTGAACAAAGCGGATATCTCCAGTATTTTCCGAATTGAATATTTTCCCATAGGCTTAACATTACGACGTAATGACCTCTAACTGACCTCAGGTCAGTGACATAAAAAAGTAAACTATATGTCATACAATTCGGTGAACTTAGCACATCCTGAAGGTTTGAAGGAAATCAGTCCAAAACCGTGAGTTGGACAGGTGCATAAAAAAATGAAATTTGACCATGACCTTGTTCCGGTTTTTCTGACCTGGTGACATGCCCAAGGTCACCCGGACCTGACATTTTCAGGTCATATGTAAAAAGGTTGCTCCATAGGCGCTTTACACTATCTTGGAAAAACTTTAGGGGGGTTGCATCACCCCCCCCCCCCCCCCGACAGGGCGAGGGTTAAGTGCACAACAATTATGTTCTTTGCGAGCCACTTCTATGAAACAGTTATGCCACATTTTTATATTTCTAAGATTTAATTCATGATCTAAAGCCAAGTAGAATTTTAAATCTCATTTCTTTGGGAAACATCTAGAGAAGATATGTTTACCTACCGTTGATTGGTTAGGTAGAAAACAGCATTGTATACATATAACCTCGTTGTGCCGTTTCCGTCAGTTTTCGCCCGTCATCCGGTGCCTACGCTGATCGTCGGCCTGCTGGTGTCGGTGGGGCTGTCGGTGCCGGCCATCTACCTGGAGATCATCACCGACCCCACGGAGCTGTGGGCGGCGCCCACCAGCCGCTCCCGGCTCGAAAAGGACTACTACGACCAACAGTTCGGCCCTTTCTACAGAACCGAGATGCTCATCATCCGCGCTAAGGGCCTCGATCCGGTCAGTTCAGTGCTGCATCCTCTGTTTAATTATAGGTATAACTTGTATCCAGGAACAGATGCTACTTGTAAACGAGCGTGCAAGTGATAGGTAAATTCATTGACAGAAGAGCTAATCCGCTTGACCTTAGCGTTTAAATTGTCTCGATAATTGTTGTCACACAATGCATGCAGACTGCTTTGATTTAAACAGCTTTCATATCCATGTTACGCTCTCGATGTTTTATCGAATTTCGCGGCCGACTGATGTGTTTGTTTCAGATTGACCACAATACCAGTTTGGGCATCCAGCACTTTGGACCTGCCTTCGACAGAGAGCTGCTCCGAGACGTTATGAAGCTGCAGAACCACATCTCAGACGAGGTCAGGCTTTGGCTTTAGGTTCTTAGATCAAACGAGCAGATTCGTATCTGCTAGTATTGTTGTTCGCTAAGGTGCCCCAGGGGAAAACGATCGAAATAGATATAGATATTTCGCCCTGGGGGCGAAAGCATAATGGACGTGCAATGCGCGTACTTAATGCATAATGAAGAGTGAGAACCGTCAAATATGTGCCGTTGCTTTCTTTATAAACTCAAGACCTTCCACGTTCGCCCCTTTCCTTCCATTCAATGCCGCGGTTGCACTTGAATGTAAGCTCATGAATGGCCATTTTAGGATTTCTCCAATCGTCCCAGAAAGACTTGCGCGTTATATAACTTCAGCTGACCCACCGGTTATCCGTACTGCCCCGCAGATCACGGGCCAGTACAAGAATGAGACGGTGCGTTTGGAGGACATTTGTTTCCGTCCGATGCTGCCGGACATCACCCGATGCGCCACCCAGTCGGTGGGCGAGTACTTCCAGGACGACCCTGACAACCTCAACTACACGACAACCGACTCGGCCGGCTTCGAGGTCAACTACCTGGACCATGTGCGCTACTGCCTGCTCTCGCCCACCGAGCAGTTCGACTCGGCCTACAACTACTTGCCGTGCATGTCGACGTGGGGCGGGCCAAGCTTCCCGTACACTGCCGTCGGCGGCTTTCTGGAGCCGGGTCAGATGCTGGACGCGGACGTGCACTACCAGAACGCCACGGCACTGCTGGTCACCTTCCTGGTGCACAACACGCAAGACCCCGAGCAGCTCGGCCGCGCCATGGCATGGGAGAAGGCGTGAGTGCGCTGGGCGGAACACGACCAGAGGCGTGAGTGCGCTGGGCGGGATACGACCAGAGACGGCTGTCGTGAGAGGTCACGCCGATGTATGCTTGGTATCTCGAGTTTGACTGTGGGTAAAATGTCGTCCAAGATATGTTGCTTAAGTTTTCATCTTTCCCGTCTAAGTAGAAGAAAATGTTATAGGATGTGAAATGAATGCATCCTTGCTTTGAAATTGCTTAATGATTAGGTATGACAGCTTGCATACTTATTATTTCTAAGGTGCACGCTCGACTATGCTTTGTATATTTCGAATAACATTGCTATAAGAAGTCCGTATACTACTCCTTGCATCTTAAATCTCAACGTTGTTCATTTTTGGTCTGATCGCTGTCGGAACGACGGCAGGTTTTTGGACTATATGGTGAACTACGAACACCCGAACATGGATATAGCCTACTACACAGAGCGCTCCATCGAGGACGAGATCGCGCGCGAGTCCGAAACCGACACCGTCACCGTGCTCATCTCCTACGTCATCATGTTCATCTACATCAGCATTGCACTCGGCCAGTACAACAGCTGCTCCAGCCTGCTGGTCAGTCCGCCTCCCACCGCCGACACGCAGGGCGCTGGAAATGCTGCGCTAGCTTTACTCTTGTTCAGTTCCAGGATGACTCGGTTTGAGGCTTGACTTTTTCAACATTATAATCCTGAATCTTTATGCTTAATGCTAGACGTTGGTCACCTTAGAACCACTGAGCACGATATGTGATTATTTATTTATAATTTCCAATTTCCATTAAATCGCATATTTCCACCTCTTATTTTGCATTAAGCTTTAAATAAGACCTAACTTCCGGTCCCCGCAGGTGGACAGTAAGGTGACACTCGCTCTGGGCGGCGTCATCATAGTCATCTTCTCCGTGCTGGCCTCGCTGGGCGTGTACGCGCTGATCGGCGTCGCCGGAACCCTGATCGTCATCGAGGTGATCCCGTTCCTTGTGCTGGCCGTCGGCGTGGACAACATCTTCATTCTGGTGCAGGCGTACCAGCGCGACAGCCGCCAGCCCGGCGAGAGCATCGAGGAGTTTGTCGGCCGCGTGGTGGGCCGCGTGGCGCCCTCCATGCTGCTCTCGGCCTCATCGGAATCCATCTGCTTCTTCCTCGGTCAGTGGCAGCCGAGTGGCCTCGGGAGAAGTAGCAGAAAGAGGTTACAAACGTGCACTCGCCTCTAACAAGTTTGCACGTAAGACGTTCCAGTACAACTACAAACGTTCAGTAGTTGGTTGCCAGCAGCGTAATAATCGATCAGTATTGATATTTACATCTAAAAATTGTTAGCAGACATTGCTGAAGTGTCCACACGAAGCATGTTATACTTATATCTAATAACTCATTATAGGTACTAGAGAGAATATGTCGTTCTGAATGGCTATTATTCTTAAAACACATGAACTCGGGTGGAAGATTACTATCAGGTAGCCTCCATGGCGTATAGTGAGTTATGGCGCCCAACGTGGGGCTTGTTTGCTTATCGACTGCTAAATGTCTGCATGATGCTCGATGATTGATGCAGATGCCAATGAGTGTCTGCCATTTGTATCGTATGTGACCGATGTCCTCGTGCCGTTTTTGACCGGCTTCCGAATTACGGCGCAGGGGCTCTGATCGACATGCCGGCGGTGCGCGTGTTCGCGCTATTTGCCGGCCTCTCGTTGCTGTTCGACTTCCTGCTTCAAATCTCTTGCTTCGTGGCGCTGCTCACCCTGGACGCTAAAAGACAGGATGTGAGTTGTAGTAGAGAGGCTGGGGGCGCCCTTCATGAAACATACAGACCATAAACTTATCAAAGAAGTGTTTTCGCTCAATACCTCAACTCGCAACCGAAAAAATAATGCTTTTAGCTTTGGTCAAAAACAGCATTTATTGTGGAATGCATACAACTTTCGTTACAATTTTATGGATCCACTTTGTGGCATGCACCTCGTCTCCAAAGCACTGCTTTTGACCATCCCTCCGCTGAACTCCGCTCTACCCTCCCACTGCTAATCTATTCTTTCCAACGGCGCCAGGCCAACCGGTTCGATATTGTGTGCTGCGTGCGCGCTTCCAAGAAGCCGGAGACTCCCCAGGAGCCCATCTTGTACCGAGTGTTCAACGGCTTCTACGCACCGGCGCTGATGAACACGGGTGCGCGCGGCGTTGTGCTGCTTGTGTTCCTCGGCTGGTTGTGCTCCAGTTTCGCCGTGGTGCCCTACATCGACGTCGGACTGGACCAGGAGCTCTCTATGCCGCTCGACTCGTATATGCTCAAAGTGTTTAAGGTGAGAGATGATAGGTTGAATTGGGGCATGGGATTGTGAGATCGATGAGAAAGCGGCGGTTCACGATCCTTCCTCACTGTTCTGAACTCATCAATATCACAAAAAAATAGTTAGGCATGATATGGATAACTAACGGCTCGGTATCAAAGCATACCTACTAATCGCCAACACGGCCGCTTTGTCCCCCAAGTCACGCCTTCTTTGGAAGCAAACTAGCCGGCGGCATCCTGTTTTCAGTCTGACCGTTCGCTGTTCCGTTCGTCCATGCAGTACCAGCAGGATTATCTCAGTGTCGGCCCGCCCGTCTACTTTGTGATCCGGGACGGCGTCAACTACTCCGAGACGACCGTGCAAAACCGCATATGTTCCACCGTCAACTGTGATAGCAATTCGATCGGCACTCAGATCACCCTGGCAGCTCAACAGCCCGCCAGGTCAGTCAACGCCAACTGCCAGGCCAGTGACTCGCGCCAGCAGCCTACCAGGCCAGTGTCCTGGGTCGGCAGCCGGCCAGGTCAATTACGGGGGCTAGCGTCCCGCCAGCTCAGTCGACGGTGGTCAGTGTTCAAGTATAAATGACCCCCTTCACTATGCAATGCTTGCCGAAGTTTGCCTGAGTAATTTATAAATTGAGACCAAAATGCTTTCCATAGGTCCCTATTTCTGAACCTTATCCATAAAGATCCGTAGATCACTTTAATGAGCAACGTTTTTCTTCATTACATTATGAGCGGTAGCCTGTAAGTGCCACGCATTCACTTTTTATTTAAAGATTGACTCCGTCGTTCCTCGGGCTGTCATCTTGTCAACGACGCTATGAAATGAATAAAATGAAAACTTTTTATTCTCTCCAGAACGTACGTAGCCACGGCCGGCAGTAACTGGATCGACGACTACTTTGACTGGTGCATTTACGGCTACAACGAGGGCGTCTCTAACTACGCCGGCTGCTGCTGGGAGAACATGACTGGCGGCGCCTTCTGTCCCTCGTACAGTGAGTCACCAGACCGCATCGTGCGCGCCGCGAGCTGCAGCCGACCGCTGCAGATAGTAGCATGATAGAGAAACGTGGGCACCGAACGTTTACCGTTACCGTAATATTGGGATAGGCACTTGTCAGCATGGCCTTTTCATGTAGGTAAAAGCTGTTAAATATTTTCCCGCACATACTATGCATTACTTTGACCTATAGGTTACCTGATCTTATATTAGGCAACTATGTCACGATAATAGAGATTATCTTTAAAGGAAAATAGTCCTTTTTCGAAACAAGTCCTAGAGTCGATAGCTGAGCGACAACGCTACCTCTAAGCGCTAATAAACGCGTTGGGCGATGGAAAAGTGCGAAAAGTTCGGAAATAATGTATCTGCGATCATTTCGATTTTCAGCGTCAGTGACCATTTAAAGGTAGTGTGCCAGCTTTCCTGGACCGTATGGAGTTAATGGCCCAGATAAGGAGAACCGGATTTTTAGAACTTATCCATACCTTCAAAACTCATGGAAACGTCTTAAATTCTTCAAATTTTGAGTACCCCAGTGCGAAATTCGCCCCGACGGGTTGTCGGTCGTACCCCAACCACATTTCACACCACTATGAACAATAAATGCACACACTGAAATCGCTATTACCGATATGCTCATCCAATCAAGTTTCGATAAACCCGTTCATCATCATCTCCTGCGGTTTCGAACACGCCTGTTAGGTGGTGCGGTAGACCGCGCCCAAAGCCAGGGCCCCGGTAACGTGAGGTAGCCGAGTCGGGGCAGCGTGCGCTGACCCAAGCCGGGGCCGCGCGTCCTCCCGGTGTCATGTGATATCACGGGGCTGCCCGCGGGGATGCGGTAGACCGCGCCCAAAGCTGCGGCCCCGGCTTGGGTCAGCGCACGCTGCCCCGACTCGGCTACCTCACGTTACCGGGGCCCTGGCTTTGGGCGCGGCTTCTGCTCATACTTTGTGGTGCGGTGGTGGTGCGTCGGGCCGCGCGCTCTGACTTCGGCCAAGAAAAATGCGTCAGCTGATCATGGTCATTTCTGCCACTTGCGTGTGGTGAAATGGGGTCATAACTTAAGATACGGCTTTTTCATATCAATTATTTTACACAAAATCATATTTCAAACCATAAATAATGTTCGACAGCCAAATAAAAGAAACAATACCAATACAGGCTTACAGTTTAAGGCTCGACATTGTGTTGTCTACGATTAGACAGCTGATAACTCATTCCCGTACCTACGTCGTAACTCTATAATGACCCTTGCTTATTGTCACATGTGCGCCGCATTCGCGATTGTTGCCGACGCCTGTTTACAGGTGAGCCCACTACAGTTGTTATACATATCGAAAAATCGATAAACTTTTAGGCGAAAAAGGCACTATTCCAGACCCATTTTTGATTTTTTTTGCGATATTAGGTAAAAACAGAAGCTTCTTATCCTAGGAAAAATAAAATGGGAAATCTTTCAAAGGTGGCACACTACCTTTAAGCAAGGTCCAGGTTAGTGACCTCTCGCATGTCAAGGTTACTGACGTATTTGTCTTACAGACATTTGCCCTTTGAAGGCCATATCCACCAGATAGCACCTAGAACCTAACATACCAGTAAAACACCTTTCGTTACGGTCCAAGCTCCATAGTGAGGCGGACATACGAATTTACGAGAGTTTAGCGACGACATGTTTCACCTAATTGTCTAGTAATGGGTACCATTAGGTAGGCCATACAATTTTCTCTAGCATCTCACCGTAGATGCAGTAAAAAGTGTTTTACTTTCAATGCATATACCAAAGAAACATGATATGTAATCATCGATGACGCGACATAATTCTGCTTTATTGGGGTTAGCGGTGTAGTCTGTGATGCCATCACAATGAAAATAGCCTAGTTTTGTAGAGCATCAAGTTTTGATTCAATATCGACTCTCCCCAGTCTATTTTCAATTATAAATAAGCCTTTTATTGCGCTGCAAAGTCAAAACTAAGCCCGAAATGGTGCCGACGGCGGCCGTTAACAGGGTCCCCTATGGTAAACAGGTTAGTTCACATTCCCGCCGCTATGCGGGCGGCGGCGGCGCCACCTGTCCTCGTGTCCGCATTGGACCGTAACGTTGGGCGAAGAGCCAGCGAGCGAGATAGTGAGCCCTGCACGTGCGGAAGGGCGAGAGGGTACTTCCAACGGGGCTTGTGCAAAGCACCCTTCTAACCGGTCGCTAGCGGTGTGCCAAATTTAACACGCGCAGTGGAAGGGGAAGGTGGATTTCGCCCACCCCTCCTGTTTTTCGCCAATAACTCGCGACGCAAACATAATATTAATGTGAAATTTTGGCTACCTGTCCAGAATTAATTGCGGATCTTCTCGTGCAAGAAATGAGAAAATCGGTTCGCAACTTTTCTAGTAATAGCGGTGTAAAGTCAAACATCCTGCCGCCGCGGCGGCGCGGCGCCCGGCGTTAGCCTTTACGAAATTGTACGAAATTGCCTGAATTGTAGACTGCGCCGGGGAGGGATGGTTCCGTCTTTACATCGCGCTCCTTACCGCTGATTATATTTGATTCGCGTCAGATTTGGTGCGAAGACTAAAAAATGTACAGGCAATCTTATGGTCTAAGAATTTTGAAAATCGGCCGGTAAAAACTTCAGTTATGAGTGTGTAAACACAAAATTGTGATTGCCGCTTTTCCCGCGTCGGCCGATCCCGCTTTCGGCCGGCGACATCTTACCCTTAGCAGGCTTCTAACTGCCATATTTATTGTTTGATTAAATAAAAATTCACCATACATACACACAAATGTATGATCTTTCGTATAGTGAAAAAAGAAAATCGGCCGGTAACTTTTTGAGTTATCGGCGTGTAAACGCAAAAAAGTCGCTCATATGGCAGATTTGACCACATTTGACCTCATTTTACCTTGAAGATATTGACCTAGGGCCATGAAATTCACACACGACAGAGTTCCCAAGGGCCCCCACCTACCCTTCAAATTTCGTCTTCCTAGCTCCACTGGGAGCCGAGATCTTAGGGGGTGCCATCCGCCCCCCCCCCCTCTTCCACTGGGCGTAGCTCGCAACCCTTCCACTGCGCGTGTTAAACGCAATCAGCCCAGCCGTCCCTGAGATCTGGAAGCGGCATTCTGCACGTGCGCACGTGCAAACGGGGTCCAAACTGACTTTTGCACGGCACCCTACTAACCGGTCCCAACCGTGTACCAAATTTGAGCGCAATCGGCCCAGCCGTTCTCGAGATCTGGAAGCGCCCCCTGCACGTGCGCACGTGCAGTAGCACCCTAACCGCAACACATGGGAATGCATTGCCTGGTGGGTGCCTACCTGTATGCCAAGTTTCAGCGAAATCGCCCCAGTATTACCGAGTTATTGAAATGGGAACAAAGTTGGCACCTCTTTTTTTGTATTTTGCACGTGCAGTGAGGGTCACTCACATAGATCAAGAGTATCCGACCTTTGGTAGAATGGATGCAGCTACCCTACCAAAATTACCGCGAGACAATCGCCCAAGCGGCTGCTGAGATATGAGCCTCTCAAAATCACGACTTTTGCAAAACAGCCTGAACACCCTTGACTTTTCACGTGGCACGTGCCACGATGGTCACTGAGTTGTATCAAAAGTAGTCAATTACGAGGTAGAAGGGATGGGGCTACCCAACAAAAAAGACCGCAGGCCAATCGGTCTTTTTTTTTTTGCTGGGAAGCCCCATCCCTTCTACCCCGTAATTGACTACGGGCGGGCCGGGCCGGGCCGGGCCGGGCCGGCCCGGCCTGTAACGCTTTTGAGAGGCTGATATCTCAGCAACCGCTGGACCGATTGGCCTGCGGTCTTTTTTTGCTGGGTAGCCCCATCCCTTCTACCCCGTAATTGACTACTTTTCATACACCTCAGTGACCGTCGTGGCACGTGCCACGTGAAAAGTCAAGGGTGTTCCAGCTGTTTTGGAAAAGTAGTGATTTTGAGAGGCCCATATCTTAGCAGCCGCTTGGGCGATTGTCTTGCGGTAATTTTGGTAGGGTAGCTGCATCCCTTCTACCAAAGGTCGGATACTCTTGATCTATGTCAGTGACCCCCCACTGCATGTGCAAAATGCAACAAGAAGAGGTGCCGAATTTGTTCCCATTTCAATTGCTCGGTACTTACTGGGGCGATTTCGCTGAAACTTGGCATACAGGTAGACACGCACCAGGCAATGCATTCCCATGTGTTGCGGTTAGGGTGCTTCTGCTCGTGCGCACGTGCAGGGGATGCTCCCAGATCTCGAGAACGGCTGGGCCGATTGCACTCAAATTTGGTACAAGGTTGGGGACCAGTTAGTAGGGTGCCGTGCAAGAGTCAGTTTGGACCCCGGTTGCACGTGCGTACGTGCAGAATGCCGCTTCCAGATCTCAGGAACGGCTGGGCCGATTGTGTTTAAATTTGGCACACCGCTAGCGACCGGTTAGAAGGGTGCTTTGCACAAGCCCGTTGGAAGTACCCTCTCACCTTTCCGCACGTGCAGGGCTCACTATCTCGCCTTCGCCCAAAAGGCGTTTTTTTGGTACAATAATTACGAGCGAGCGAGCGCAGCGAGCGAAGCGAGTCTTTTCAATATAACGGAAAAAATCTCAGTATGAGCGGCCCGGCCCGGCCCAGCCCGGCCTGTAACGCTTTTGAGAGGCTTATATCTCAGCAACCGCTAGACCGATTGGCCTGGGGTCTTTTTTGCTGGGTAGCCCCATCCCTTCTACCCCGTAAGTGAATACTTTTGATACATCACAGTGACCGTCATGGCACGTGCCACGTGAAAAGTCAAGGGTGTTCAAGCTGTTTTACAAAAGTAGCGATTTTGATAGGCTAATATCTCAGCAGCCGCTTGGGCGATTGTCTTGCGGTAATTTTTGTAGGATAGCTGCATCTCTTCTACCAAAGGTCGGATACTCTTGATCTATGTGAGTGACCCCCATTGCACGTGCAAAATACACAAGGAAAAGATGCCAAGTTTGTTCCCGTTTCAATAACTCGGTAATTACTGGGGCGATTTCGATGAAACTTGGCATACAGGTAGGCACCCACCAGGCAATGTATTCCCATGTGTTGCGGTTAAAGGGACCCTCCCACCTTCAAAAAAGTTAATGAATTGGCATGAAAGTGATGTCGCTCGGTTCAGAAAGAGCAAAAACGAATATCTACCAAATTTCATCGAAAAATATTCACCGGTTTTCAAGATATTAGACTTTTACTTTTGTTTACTTTTTGGGATCTCCGCTGTTCCTAGCGACTTTATTTGAAAGTGCGGCATTTGTTGCGCGCAAAGCAGCATATAGCACCGCGTGCTACAAAACGTTTTAGTCAAACATTTAACGGACGTTCGATTGCCTGATGACGTCATCAGATTCCCGTAATGGTTAAGAGATAGGGACCACGCTGGTCCCACCCTGCAAGTAAAGGGAAGAAATTTCTTGAACACCATAAAGCTGCGGGGGTTGCGACCAAGATAAATGGTGGTTTCTGAGCCTGGCCGCAAACTTGGCTATCTCAACTCAAAACTAATGTTAAGGTGGGATGGTCCCTTTAAGGTGCTACTGCACGTGCGCACGTGCAGGGGGCGCTTCCAGATCTCGAGAACGGCTGGGCCGATTGCGCTCCAATTTGGTACACGGTTGGAGACCAGTTAGTAGGGTGCCGTGCAAAAGTCACTTTGGGCCTCGTTCGGACGTGCGCACGTGCAGAATGCCGCTTCCAGATCTCAGGAACGGCTGGGCCGATTGCGTTCAAATTTGGCACACCGCAAGCGACCTGTTAGAAGGGTGCTTTGCACAAGCCCGTTGGAAGTACCTTCTCGCCCTTCCGCACGTGCAGGGCTCACTATCTCGCTCGCTCGTTCCATGGGTGGAGCTTTTCCAAGAAAGTTGGTGGGACAAAAAGTTGTCAAGCCTACAATGTCCGATTGTTAAATTAGATAAAATACAACAATGAATCACTTTTTTGATTACAGAGATGCTATTTTGCATTACACAGACATTTCGAAGCTCCTCAATGCAAAAAAAAAACATTGGTTTGCTAAGCAGTGAAGTCCTGCAAATCATGGTGGGGGCAAAATGGCAAGTTGGTGGGGCAAGTGAATAGGAAGCTCCACCCCTGGCTCGTTCTTCGCCCAAAAGGCGTTTTACTGGTTCTTAACTGGATCGCAGTTCGTTAGTCGCTAGAAGGTACACTGAAAACAGGGCGTGACACGTTTGGACCCTTGTCATTATTTCCGTTCACAGCAATCGACTACAGCACCTGCCAGCCGTGTGCCATGACGTTCAACGACGACTACAGTCGGCCGGACCAGGAGTCGTTCTCAAAATACATCGACTTCTTCCTCAACGACAACCCCGGAATGAACTGCCCCAAGGGAGGGCATGCCGCCTATCACGACGTAAGGCCAGCGTAAGCCCGGGTGATATCTCCACTATGAATTGCTTCTGTGTAAATACATAGACGTACCATGCATAATGGAGCTAGATAGCAGAAGTGGAATATCATCTAGCAACGTTAATTAACCTGCGCCCCACTGGGGTCTGTGTATAACACGCCCTACTGGGGGGGGGGGCTATTCATAGCCCCCTCCTAACTCCGAAACTACTGGACCGATCGTCAAAATTCAAACAGCATCTGATAGCCCCGGAAAAAAACTGTAGAATGAAACCTAGTTTTATTGACCTCAAGGTCACCGATGACGTCACAGGTCAGGTCAAAGTAAAAACTATCGGTATTTGGCTTGTTCACTTTTTGGGCTCTGGCTGCCGCCTTACAAGTCAGGTCAGGCTGATTTTTGGTTTACACACTCGTGATCAGATGCTTTAGATACCCTGAGTGTACCAAACTTGTAGGTACTTTAATTTTCAGGTCAGGGTAAGGTCATCATAGGTCACGGAAATCTTATGTCATAAGTCGGTCACGTGGCACATGTTTCATGGTCCATTTAGACCATATATTTTGATTTAGGTGTCGCCTGTGTCATTTGAGGCCATTTTCAGCTGAATAAAGCTGAGGTTAGGTCACTTTCAGGTCAAAAAAGGTCAAATTTCAAAGTTGAAATTTTTCACCAAAACATGTTTATCGGATGCAGTTTGAGCTCAGGAACACGATGGTGCTATTTATATTGGTGTACGATGTCAAAAACGTACTGAAAAATTGATTTGAAAAATATAATTGTGATTTTTTGCAACAATGCGTATAACTTGGTCATTTTTGAAGATCTTTAGCTAAACCGTGCTAGAGTAAGTCATTACCATGTGTTCTATCACATATATTTCGGCTGTTTTCGAAAGTCAAAAACGTTTTGAAAAAATATAGAAATTTAAATTTTGAATTTTATTATATATAATTTTCATAATTTTCAAAACTTTGAAAATCCGAGATAACAGTTTGATAGCGCAGTCTATTTTGAGTCCTCTCATGCAAAGAAATTAGATCTAGCTTAAAACTGAACTCTTGAGAGCGATTGCCGTGGTTCAATGTTTTGCGTCGAAATCGGCCGAACATGACGTCACTCTGACGTCATTTCCGGCCGATCTATGGTAGCTACGAAGTTCATATTTTGACATGAGCCGTCAAATTAATGCAGCCGAAGGTACTGCAAGTTTGGTGTCGATACGTTAAGCGGTTTGGAAGTTATTGCAGAAAGACGGGAGGGGGGCTATGAATAATAGCCCCCCCCCGCCCCCCAGTGGGGCGCGGGTTAAGAACATACATGTATACGAGTTAATTAAGAAGCAAGAACTTTAAAGCCTTTATCATTCATTTTTCATCGTGCTTCAGCCGACATCTAAGGGTCCAGCCGCAACAGGCAGTAGGAAGTAGACGAATGTTGTGCAATTAGTTGACTAAAAATCTATGTTTTCTTCGTATGCCGTTATGCTTGCCATGCGGTCGTTTGTCGGTGTCGCCGGCCTCGGCCGTATGTCTGTCATATAGTCTGTCACTGGGTGGGCCGCGCTCGGCAGGCGGTGGTGACGACTCGCCTGGAGGACGGCTCCACGCACATCGGCGCCTCCTACTTCATGGCCTACCACACCATCCTCAAGGTGTCGCAGGACTTTTACGGCGCTCTCGAGTGGGCCAGGAAGATCACCGACAAGATGACCGAGGCGCTGAACGCCGTTACCGGAGGCACCGACCCGCAGCAGGTGTTCCCCTACAGGTGATAATGGCACGTGTGCCCCTACAAATATTACCCTACAGGGACCCCAGTTGGTATTTTATTTTATGTACGAAAAGCGGTAACTTGTTTAAAAATGTCACCCATTTCGGGGCTGTTTGATTTCAAGCGAAACGCTTAAAAAATAAACTAAAAAGTTAAAACAAGTTACTTTTATTTATTTTTCGTGATTCATTAACGCCTTTTATTTTCATCTGTACTCACAAAATATCAGAACCAGGCGATGCTGGCTGGCGTTGCTGTTGCCTTCGTCAGTGCACTACCGCGCCAATGACTGCCACCCGCGTCCGACGGTCCACCGACAATCCCCCTGCGCTGAAATCTCTACCTACGATATCAACTAACGGGTAGTACCTGACCATGTGGTCTGACGTATTACAGCGTGTTCTACGTGTACTACGAGCCTACCTAACCCTGTGGTCTGACGTATTACAGCGTGTTCTACGTGTACTACGAGCAGTACCTGACCATGTGGCCGGACGTGATGCGCTCGCTGGGCATCTCTGTGGCCACCATTTTCGTGGTGACGTTCCTGCTGATGGGTCTGGACCTGCACTCGGCGCTCATCGTACTCGTCATGATCGTCATGATCATCACCAACCTGGGCGGCATCATGTACTGGTGGGACATCTCGCTCAACGCCGTCTCGCTCGTCAACCTCATCATGGTGAGGCTGCAGGGCCAGAGGGATATAATGTCCTGAGGCTGCAGGGCCAGAAGGATATAATGTCCTGAGGCTGCAGGGCCAGAGGGAGATAATGTCCTGAGGCTGCAGGGCCAGAGGGATATAATGTCCTGAGGCTGCAGGGCCAGAGGGATATAATGTCCTGAGGCTGCAGGGCCAGAGGGAGATAATGTCCTGAGGCTGCAGGGCCAGAGGGATATAATGTCCTGAGGCTGCAGGGCCAGAGGGAGATAATGTCCTGAGGCTGCAGGGCCAGAGGGATATAATGTCCTGAGGCTGCAGGGCCAGAGGGATATAATGTCCTGAGGCTGCAGGGCCAGAGGGATATAATGTCCTGAGGCTGCAGGGCCAGAGGGATATAATGTCCTGAGGCTGCAGGGCCAGAGGGATATAATGTCCTGAGGCTGCAGGGCCAGAGGGATATAATGTCCTGAGGCTGCAGGGCCAGAGGGATATAATGTTCTGAGGCTGCAGGGCCCTAACCGGGAGGGATACTGTCGAGACATAAACTAGGTAATGGACGGGCGTCCTTAAATGTCTCCGGGCGGCTGAGGCCAAATAGGTATGAATTATTATTGCAGCCAAAACAATTTAACGATCACACTCTCTTTAGCGTTCTCCTTTTGTGCTTACCTACATGAAAGGCTGCAAAAACATCCGAGGTGTGTTCCGCCTCCTCAGCACCTTCAGCATTTTTTGAACCGCACGTCAGCGGCAGATGACAGCCATTTTATCTGCTCATGCTGTCGGCCGTCCTCTAACTGCACGACCGTCACCCACGCGCTGTGGCACCCGTGCCTGTACCGTGACCAGGGTGCCCTGACCCGTGGCGGGCTGACCTCCGGCCAGTGTCCGGCCCTCCTCTGTCTCGTGGCTGACCCGCTCTCCCTCTAACCCCCGCCCCGTCCGTCCACCGGCAGGCGGTGGGCATCTCTGTCGAGTTCTGCAGCCACATCACCCGCGCGTTCGCTGTCTCACTGAAACCCAACCGCACCGAGCGAGCCAAGGAAGCGCTCACCAGCATGGGCTCCTCGGTAAGGCGGCCACGCCCCGGCCAGAAGAGCCTCGGCCGGTCCCCGGGCGCTAATCTGCACCCCGGCCGGCAGGACCATTGTTAAATCGGGCTCACTCCTGATTTGTTATTGAGATCTTTAGTTCGTGGATTTGTCTAGAGAGCCAGTTGACAGCGAATTAACTACAATAGTACTCAAATGCGTGTTTATTACACTGACATCAAGCTATTTGTTCAAGCTGGCAGCGCAGGAAGGCTAGTCCATTGTTAAATAATCGTCGTTTGTTTTTACACAGGTTCTCAGCGGCATCACTCTGACAAAATTCGGAGGAATTATTGTACTTGGGTTTGCTAAGTCGCAAATCTTCCAGATCTTCTACTTCCGGTGAGTGCTGATAACAGTTATCTACCTAATCCACTGATGAAATAATGCGTTAGCCCGCGCCCCGCTGGGGGGGGGGGGGGGGCACAGAATCTGCCCCCTCCCGTTATAACTTATAAACGCGTTACGCCAGCGACGTCACACTTTCAGTACCTTATCATACATCAATTTAACCCTCGCCGGCCGAGGGGGGGTGGGTGCCGCCCCCCCCCCCATAGGGTTTTTTTCGCGATAGCTCCGAACACGCTGGATATAGAGAGCTGAAACTTGGCATACCTGACCTTTGATTCAAGCCGGACCTTTTGACACCAACTGCATTTTTGGGTCAGGTCAGGTCACTGACCTATGACGTCATAAGTGAACCTCTGCACGGTCTTAAGATGTCGAAACTTCGCAACGCCCTCACTGCCAGAGGAGATGTCACAGGGAAATGAAACTTGCAGGATCTAGTATCCATTATGAGTCTCACAACTTGTGTATCTCGGGTTTTTCCTAAATGTCATATGAGGTCAGGTCATTTTCGTGACCTCACCATTATAAGTCAATGGGGAAAAATGAATACTGCTATTCTGGCGCCGGGAACGATCTCCAACTATCTCAAGCACACAGAATCGTGATTTGATGCACTCCTTGCAAGGTTAGATGCGTCACTTTTGCAATGTTGACCTTGCGTGACGTCATTTATGACGTCATCAAGTTCATATTCGTTTTTCGTCAATAACTCTTGATCAAATTGAGCTAGCGAGTCAGGAAGGCCACCAATGGACTCAGGAAGACCTGTCGAATAGAATGATATGCGACATGACCTCTTTCGACCAACTTCGTGACCTGGGGGTGCTGACCTGACCTTGACCTGAGGTCAACACCCCAAGTTGACCTGACCCGGACAAAAAGTATATCATTCGACGCGCCTGAGCGAGGCGAACACGATACTGCAAAAATCGCGGCTCTGCGGCTGTTTTTTTTGCGAAGGTATTCACCAAAAACTGAACCGTACCTTGGGGCACATCTGACCTCAGAGGTCACTGGTTGACCTAGGACCTTAAAATCGGGTACCAATCTCTGCGTCTCGTAACGGCGCACACGCTCGTTTTTTCCGCGACGCGCTAGCTCCACCAGGGGCGAAACGGCGAGGGGGGTCATACCCGCCCCCCTCGGCCGGCACGTATGTAGAATTCCAATAGGTCCGGCGAGGGTTAAGACGTTTCCTAAAAATTTGAGCGAAATCCTTCGGAATTTTTTTGAGAAAATGACGCTTTAGTGACGTCATGTTCGCCATTTTCGCCTAAAAAAACGGCAAAATTTCAAACGCCGGTAACATCTTCATTTTTAAAGGAATTCAAACGTAACAAAAAAAGGTTATATGTGATTCTACTTCGTCTATCAAATGGTTATCTCGTTTTTTTTTTTAATGTTGGATTTTGGCCCAATTTTTTTCTAAAAAAAAACTGACTTTTTTGGGAAAATAATTATAAAATCCAAAATTTTGAAAGTATCGAAAAAACGGAATATGTGTCAGAGAAGTGGTCTATGTGCACCTACATACCAATTTTTAGAAGAATCGGTTCAAAAATGTGGGAGTTATTCAAAATTTTATGGCGTCACGACGCACAAAATTTTTGAAAAATGATTTTTTTGCAAGTTCTAGACCTCGTACGGGAACAAAAATAGCACCATTCTATTCGCCGTGAAAAACTGCATCAGACAGACACCTTTTTAGGCCTTAACAACCAACTTCAAAATTTGACCTCACTTGACCTGACCCCTGAAATTCATCCAGAGGTGGTCCATATCACTTATTGAGAGTGTCTATTGAATTCTATGACTAAAATGACCGATAAAATATGTATCGCACATGCCCTTTTCTACATTTTGTATTGGTGACCTGACCTGACCTGACGTGACCTTGACCTTGACCTTTGAATGATATTGTAGGGGAGAGTGGGGTAAGATGCCCAGGGTGGGAAAGACGCCCCACCCCCTCTAGCGGCGAAACAAAGAATCAAACCTGGAAATTAATGTTCTTAGCGTAAAGCGGAAGCCTGCCTTGTTAACTGCACAAAAATTTGCGAAGCTCAGTTGGGCAACGGCTGTCTGGTGATTGCATGTTTTTTATTTGCTGCTTTCAAAAAATATATTGGTGTCAAAACATTGTAAATATCAAAGAAGGTAGATAATTTTTGCGTCCCTTGCTATAGTCGTGATACATTAACATGCGTGCACTGTGTCCCAAACAGTTTGTTTCAGGGTGTAGTTGTATGACTAACAAATTGTACTGATTTAATGTTACTTCGGTACCTTGGGGTAAGATGCCCCCTGTCCTGATGGGGAAAGACGCCCCCCTAAATCCGTATGCTGTCTTTCAAGCAGCCCGTCAAATCATTTATTACATACTTGTGATGAGACAAAAGCCGATCTGGGACTATTGAGAGTCCAGTACGGTCGGGTGCTCCCCATGCCGGTCTCTCGGACCACACAGCGACTTTTTGGGCGGCATCTGACTCTGAGAGCCCTCACGACGGCCTCTGTGGGCCCCATTATTGGCTCCAGGGCCCCTCACGACATCCTTTGAGGGCTCCCACGTTGGCTCCACGGGCCGCGCTGGCATCTGAGGTCCCCACGATGGGCTCGAGGGCCCTCAAGCATCATGAAGACCTATAAGGGCCCCACAGTGGTCTCCGAACGCCACCACGGAGGCTTGTTTGGCCGCGCTGGACTATGTTGGCCCTAACGATGACCTCTGAAGCCCCTTACGACTACTTTTGAGAGCCCCTACGATGACGTTTGGTGTCTACTGCAGGCTCGAAGGGACTACTGATTCGTTCAGGCAATTCACGTGCCCATTTTTGCCACTTATAGTGCGGAGGGGCATCTTACCCAACCCCAGGGGGCGTCTTTCCCACCCTGTGGGGTAAGATGCCCCCTTTCACTTCTCAAGGAAAATGCTTAATAGCAAAAACAGTTATCATATTCCAGGCACGAAAGTGTGATATTTTTGGAGAAAAATGATGTCGGCTTCCGTTGAAACTCCACGTTTTTGCTTTCCGATCGTCATTTTCGAATAATATACGACATCGTAAAACCCTGGGCATCTTTCCCCACTCTCCCCTATGCAAAGAATATTGTCTTGGTAGCCTAAGAACACGTTTTGGGCAATCAGTCTCAGTCCATTCTTCGGCAACTACGGTGCAAGACCAAAACTGTAGAAACTTGCATTTTGTACCCTTCACCTGACCTTGACCTGACCTCTGACCGACTTAAGCAAAAAAATTGGGCTTTTAGGATCCGCCTTGTTGAGAGCTTTCGATTGCCGTTTTCCCCGTCTTTCTACGACCATCGATTCGGAAGTTAGACAGAGGGGCAGAATCTGCCCCCCCCCCGCCCCCCAGCAGGGCGCGTATGGCTGAATAGCCCAGCGGGGCGCGGGTTAAGATAGGACTTTACCGTAAACGGTAAAGCCCTATCCGCTTACGTGGCCATCGCGTTCACGCTCCGTATGTGAAGCGTTCTTCAGCAAAAAAAAAAAAAAAAATCCGACAGGCGGCTATTTTTCTGTTAACCCGCGAGTTGCTGGGGGGGGGGCGGTTAAACGCCCCCACTTTTTCGCTGGGCCATAGCATAAAAACGGCGCGCCGCAGGCGCGCCAAATTTTGGGTACCTGTAGGGAATTGATTGAAGTTTATTGTGACAAAGTTTCAAAAAAATCGATCGGAAAATATTTGAGATATCGAGGTTTTAGTGACGTCATGATCTCTGAGTTTTCGACCAAAAACGGCATATGTTCAAAAAAATCATATAAAATCACAGAATAGACCTACAGACATGCCGTAAACGCCATTAGACTGCCAATACCATGAACAATCAAATGGCTATCTTCGATTATTGATTATCGTTCCGCATTTTCCAAAATCTTGAACTGAATCTCGGCAATTTCTCGTGACTACTTCACGACCATGATACATGCATTTCTTAAATTTAACTTTTTGAGCCAAACACGTACACATATGATAAAATGAATGTCACCATCGTGTTCTACGCCCCAAATTACCCATAAAACATGTGTCACAGGCTGCGAATATCAGTTTTGATTTTCGGGGATATGTGCCTACCCGGTTGACCTGACCTTGACCCTGACCTTTGCTTGACTGACCCCTACATGGAGCTGACACTCTTGTAGGCCTTATATGATGGATTTTGCACCGTTTTGACAGAGTTTATGACGAGAGGCGCCCATTGCGAAGTCCTGAAGTCCATGCTACTGAAAGCCCGATTTCAGGTGTTTGACCTGACCTTGACCCGACCTGTGACCTCAAAATTCAACTTTAAAGTACTCATCTGAAGCGTCTCGTCGCGTTCTTTCGTTTGCCGCCTCGTGCGTTTCGCTGCGCCTATTGGTTCTCGAGTTATCGGCTGGGGGCGTTTAACGCCCCCCCCCCCAGCAAACGGTGGGTGGCGAAATACCCCAGCAACTGCCGGGTTAAAATACCGATGGGTGGCCACGACAAACGGCATGGCTACGTATTGCGGAAAATATCAATATCGGGATGTACATACCTCAATAGTTTTGTGTCTTAGCTTTTCCGACCTGACCTTTCAAGTCCGGTCGGTTCAGTCCTGGTGACGCAGCTAGAGAAAGTCTTAGTCGATAACGGGAATAAGCACACATGGCCACCCTGACCCCAATATTATCAATCAGAATGCAATTCTAACAAGTCGGTGGTCATGTATCGCTCTGTTAACCCTCGCCGGCACAGGCCATTTTGCGTCCTTCGACGGCACAAGGTCGTTGGTACGACCCCCCCTCGCGTTTGGCCCCTGATCGAGCTAGAGCTTCGCGGAAAAAACGAGCGTGTTGCCCGTCACGAGACGAAGCCGATGATACCCAATTTTAAGGTCCTAGGTCATCGGGTGACCTTCCAGGTCAGGTCAATGACTCAAAAGCGGGAAAATCGGGACGTGTTAGAAAGTCGTAAAGCGTGGCTGCTATGTGGTTTTCCGGGGTGCTGATCACGAATATCGTGTTAGTTTTGATCATAGATGATGTCTTTAAGCATTTAGACCAGGTCGGGTCAGATCAGGTCAGGTCAACCGGTAGGGGTTGTGACGGGTATTCGTAATACGTGTCAACCGCCTCTGACAGCTTCGTAACATGTTACGAAGGCACCGAAACTACTTCGTAAATGTTCAAATGGATGCTAAATTCGAATTCAGCTCCAAAAACTAGCCTAGAAACATGTAAAACTCGAAAAAGTGAACCGAGGTCACCCGAGGTCACCAAAGGTCAATGACCTGACCTGACCTTCAGGTGACCTTGACACCCACCCTAATGCATGGGAGCAGCATCAAATCACATGTTTGAACGTTTGAAACCACGAAAAGCTTGCAAACGCGCGGCTAATGCGAGCCGACATACGCCGAATCGCGATTCCGGCCAAACATGGTCTCAGAAAAGAGGTCACAGGTCAAAGGTCATTTGGGTCAGGGTCATGAAATTTTCAGGGTAGGTGTAAAATTGATCAATGCGAGGGTACTGAAAGTTTCGTCGCGATCGGCCGCTTTTTACGCGAGTTATTTGCGAAAAACCGTAGGGGGAGTTGCATCAACCCCCCCCCCCCCCCTGTACCGGCGAGGGTTAAAACATTTAAACGTGGAGCCGATGTCAGCATTTAGCGACATCAAAACTATATGAACTGATTACGGCTGCTGGTGCTGGTAGAGCTGGTTATAATGCTACGGCTGGTTGTTCCTGGTTGTTACTGGTTGGGTGACCACGGCTGCTGGCGCTGTTTGCAGAATGTACCTGGGCGTGGTGCTGGTCGGGGCGACCCACGGACTCATTCTTCTACCGGTGGTGCTCAGCTACGTCGGTAAGTCACCGACTGACCTCCGAGAGCCGCAGTCTGACCCCGGGAAGTCGCAGTCTGACCTCGGTAAATTACGGACGAATTGGGCTGTAGTTACGTCGGTACTTCAGACTGGCCTTGGGAAGTAACGTACCTGACTCCGGTAACTCGCGGTCTAACTTCGGTAATCGGCAAGTGTCGCAGTCTGACTTCTGGAAGTCACGAACTGACTTCAGTAAGCCACAGACAGAGTGGCACTCTGCCACCACCTGACACTGACGGCGCCCGCCCCGTCCCTGCAGGCCCGTCCGTGAACCGGTCCTCGCTGAAGGCGGCGCGCGAGGCAGAGGGCCTCGCCAAGAAGGCACGCGATGCCGAGGCTGCTGCAGATATGAAGGCGCGCGCTGCCGCCGGACTCGCGAAGGAGTCGCCCCAGGTTAGCAATAATTTGTCGCTAGTCTTAGCATACAAATGACATCTGATTCGTCTAATGTCAAGACTGATGAGCGCAAGACGCCCAGGGCTTTTGTCGCAGCTTACAGTCGGTCTTTTCTTTTCACTAGCCAGCCGATCATGACAAACGTCACGAATTGATCGTGTAAATTCCTCCGAACCCAACGGTGTGGTTTATTGAGAACCTCGAGGCACGCAGCGCTGCTCCCCGCGCTCACAGCGCGCTACAGCCTATCTGACGGCGCCGCCTCGGATCCCACAGAGCCGCGGGCCGCACAACAATCAGCCCACGGAGCACACCAACCTGTGATCGACCTGCTCATCTGACCCGACCTCGCCGCTCGGCCGCCCGGGCGCGGCCCCGGGCGGACGCCTGATGGACAGACTATTTATACTGGTGTACTCGTAACCGAATGTGATTATCGAACGTGTATTTAATCTGACGTGCCACGTGAGGGCCGTGGTCGGTGAAATGTATAACTTGACTCATAGTGCGTAATAAACTGATCAGTGCAATATTTGTTGAGTTGTTTGACTCAATCCGTAAAGCGAGGGAAAACTATCAACTTACACAAGGAAGCGGTTTAGGAGTTTTATTGAATACCATTCTCTATCACATACTACCCACATGACCAAGCACGAACGCCGAGTACCAAACAAAGAAGGCGGGGGCGACGCTTCGGATCGCCATTTCACGCTCTCCGGCGCCCGGTGTTCGGGACATGCACGCGCCGCATCAGCTCACACACCCTGTGCCGAAGTAGTGTCTCAGATCGTCAGCAGCACGATAAAATATAAGTCTTCATAAATAACTGCCCACCCGCACCCCGGGGTGCTGTGCAAAGACTCCAACCGCTACAGAAGAGCCACGCATTCGACAGAGCCCCGCCTGATCACACGCATTTGTGAGAGAGAGAGAGAGAGAGAGAGAGAGAGAGAGAGAGAGAGAGAGAGAGAGAGAGAGAGAGAGAGAGAGAGAGAGAGAGAGAGAGAGAGAGAGAGAGAGAGATGTTACATCCGCGAATGCCCGCCCGCCAGAGCCCACCATTCGTGTGTAAATATAGACCCCAAGCGACGCAATTTGCCACATATCCCGACAGAATCCAGACGAGTCGCGTTCGGTGCGCGCTGACCACACCACCGCCCACCGGAGCCACAGGTTCAGACGGCCTCACGCCGAGAGGAATGGCGCGCACTTGAAGTGCGCCGCGGCGGCGGTCCGCGGGCGAAGCTGAGCTTCCGACGCCGGTCGACAGGCGGCGCCCCTACTGCGGCGTCTTCTCCTCGGTCACTGTGGGCGGCGGCGCCGCGCTCTCGGCCTGCCGTTTGGCCGCCTCCGCCTCCTTCAGCGCCTCGTCAAACGACTGGGTCGAGTTGCTGCGCGACGAGGTCACTTTGCTCTGAAACCGCGCCCGGAGGAGAGGTCACGGACCGCGCACCAGCGACCCAACAGGCCGGTCACCAAACATTACAGAATAATCGGGAGGTTTGCCCCTATCCAGAAGACCACATAATTGATAGCGTCGTTATCGTGCCAAGACCAGACGTTAAAGGCTGAAACAGACTCTTTCCGCAGTCAGGAAATCGCATGCGAGAGCCTATTCAAATGCATTGTAATCCTTCCCACATCAATCGCATGCGGGAGGTGCGTGCATGAGAGTTCCTGACAGTGGAAAGAGTCTGTTTCAGCCTTAAAGCGCAAATCCCGCTCGGGCTCTCGGATAGGACTCTGGATGAGCTAAGCATAGTACGCAGAAGCAAGGCCTGTAGTACGGACGCACGGGTAGAGGAGCGGAGGCACGACAGAGGCTCCTGAGGAGCAGGTCACTGGAGCTGGTCGCCCGAGGACGGCGGCGGGTCGGTAGGAGCAGCAGCAGGAGCCGGCGGCATGTACTGGTTAGCCGGGCCGAGACTCATCTGCAGCGCCGAGGGCATCGGAACACAGTTCTGCCGGTGGAGGAAATGTGAGAGGGAATACAGTTCTGCCGGTGGAGGAACTGTGAGAGGGGACACAGTTCTAACGGACAGGGACTGTGAGAGGGAACACAGTTCTGCCGGTGGAGGAACTGTGAGAGGGAACACAGTTCTGACGGACAGGGACTGTGAGAGGGAACACAGTTCTGCCGTTGGAGGAACTGTGAGAGGGAACACAGTTCTGACGGACAGGGACTGTGAGAGGGAACACAGTTCTGCCGGTGCAGGGACTGTGAGAGGGAACACAGATCTGACGGACAAGGACTGTGAATGGGAACACAGTTCTGCCGGTGGAGGAAATGTGAGAGGGGACACAGTTCTGACGGTGGAGGGACTGTGAGAGGGGACACAGTTCTGCCGGTGGAGGGACTGTGAGAGGGAACACAGTTCTGCCGGTGGAGGGACTGTGAGAGGGAACACAGTTCTGATGGACAGGGACTGTGAGAGGGAACACAGTTCTGCCGGTGGAGGGACTGTGAGAGGGAACACAGTTCTGCCGGTGGAAGGACTGTGAGAGGGAACACAGTTCTGCCGGTGGAGGGACTGTGAGAGGGAACACAGTTCTGACGGACAGGGACTGTGAGAGGGAACATAGTTCTGCCGGTGCAGGGACTGTGAGAGGGAACACAGTTCTGCCGGTGCAGGGACTGTGAGAGGGAACACAGTTCTGCCGGTGCAGGAAATGTGAGAGGGAACACAGTTCTGCCGGTGCAGGGACTGTGAGAGGGGACACAGTTCTGCCGGACAGGGACTGTGAGAGGGAACACAGTTCTGACGGACAGGGACTGTGAGAGGGAACACAGTTCTGCCGGTGCAGGGACTGTGAGAGGGAACACAGTTCTGCCGGACAGGGACTGTGAGAGGGAACACAGTTCTGCCGGTGCAGGGACTGTGAGAGGGAACACAGGTCTGACGAACAGGGACTGTGAGAGGGAACACAGTTCTGCCGGTGCAGGGACTGTGAGAGGGAACACAGTTCTGACGAACAGGGACTGTGAGAGGGAACACAGTTCTGCCGGTGCAGGGACTGTGAGAGGGGACACAGTTCTGCCGGACAGGGACTGTGAGAGGGAACACAGTTCTGACGGACAGGGACTGTGAGAGGGAACACAGTTCTGCCGGTGCAGGGACTGTGAGAGGGAACACAGTTCTGACGAACAGGGACTGTGAGAGGGAACACAGTTCTGCCGGTGCAGGGACTGTGAGAGGGAACACAGTTCTGCCGGTGGAGGGACTGTGAGAGGGAACACAGTTCTGACGGACAGGGACTGTGAGAGGGAACACAGTTCTGCCGGTGCAGGGACTGTGAGAGGGAACACAGTTCTGCCGGTGCAGGGACTGTGAGAGGGAACACAGTTCTGCCGGTGCAGGGACTGTGAGAGGGAACACAGTTCTGCCGGTGCAGGGACTGTGAGAGGGAACACAGTTCTGCCGGTGGAAGGACTGTGAGAGGGAACACAGTTCTGACGAACAGGGACTGTAAGAGCCCAGTGGTAGGGAAGTTGTCGGAAAGAGGGATTGTGAGAGAAAACACAGTTCTCCAGTGTCCCAAAATTATATTTTTGCTTGGGTGTCAGAGAGGAAAATTGCTGACCAAAAAAAGGATGAGAGTGAAAAATTGTCAGTCAGGTAAGGCCCAAAAAGAGTGGGAAAATGATCAAAAACATTAAACTATCTACAATTGTGACAGATGCAAAACAACCATTCACGCAGTTGCTCCTTCTCAGTGTAGAAAATTGGGCTTGAAAACCGGAGGTGAGAGTGGAAAACGATTTTCATTTAGATGTCGTTTCGCACCCACATCTACAAATTTTGGGACACCGGTTCTGACGGTTAGAGGGACCACGAGAAGAGTGAGAAATAAGTGAAAAATGAAGCGTATTGGTGAGAGCGACTTTGTGAACATTTTCCCCGTAAGGTGCGTGGGCTCGGCCAGACAGTAATACCGAGGAAAAATTAGAAAAGTCAGTGATTTCTGCCCAACAATGAGAAAAGATACGGATTACCGAGCAAAGGCGTATTATGTACACAGATTTTGTACTAACATGGGCCGTAAGTTCACTTGTAACGTGCGTTCACGTAACTAATTTAGCTGCGGTCCGTGAGCCGACACGGTGAGCCGATTTGAAGTGAGCCGCAGCGACTCGGCAGAGGCAGATAAAGCCCATCGCTTTAAAACGAACTGAAAGCCGGTGGCTTTTCGGAGAATTGTGAAAATGTCGTTAGATAGAGATAGACGGCTCAAACGGATCTCGAGCGACAGCTTAATCGATGGAAGGATTGAGACGGACGAGTCCCGCCCGAGCGTCCCAGGACATTTGAGACGGGAGCACATGTGGCCCCAGTGCAGAGGTGGCCGGCGTCGATAAAGCGAGCCACCAGCCGGCGGGACAGCGGTCGGCCATTACCGGAGCGGTCAGGAGCGGCGGCCGCGGCGACAGACGGCAGGCGACAGGACGGGGACGCAGGCCCCAGTGGCACACGGACTGTGTGCCATCGGGGCAGCGCCGGACAGCCGGAAACGAGGACCAACGGGGACAGAAACCCTAACACACCCAGTGTTCAGTCCGGCGTCTTTCAAATCAAACACATGGCAAAAAATAAAGATAGTATTGGCAGGCGGGCTAAAACAAAGCAGGCAGTTACATTCCGTTCTCAATATCACCGAAAAAAATCCAACTCCCCTCCTCTTTTTTACTGTTTCCGAAATTTTCACTTAATATTTTTCTCGTGCAGGTCTCACTTCGAATAACCAAAAACTACCTCCACTGCGCCGCGTCTGTCAAATCAGGCAGTTACATTCCGTTCTCAATATCACCGAAAAAAATCCAACTCCCCTCCTCTTTTTTACTGTTTCCGAAATTTTCACTTAATATTTTTCTCGTGCAGGTCTCACTTCGAATAACCAAAAACTACCTCCACTGCGCCGCGTCTGTCCACCCAGGGAGACGGTACGGGAGACACGGGAGGCGTGGGACCAAGCACAGCAGAACAGGAGACATAGGACTGAGCATGGATGACGGGCCCCTAACACACGTCCACCTCCACTCGGTTATATCCAGCCACGCACCAGATCGGTGTAACAACATGGCGGTCACTACCGCTATTAGCAGCTCAGTTGTCATGGCAAACAATCCTAACGTGATGGATTAGCATTACAAAGTACTATTATGTGGCTTTCGCCCAAAATTACCAGACACACGTCGAGAAATGCGTGCGTTCGATAATCTCTCGCAGCACGTGATCAAAAGCGGCTTATGACACCGCCTGGACGTGTCAGCACTACTACCGAGCAATTCCAGCACCTGCGCAGAAACGTCCACTCTCGGCTGGTCTTTTATCGACCGGCGAGAGCAGATCAGCGGCAGACCGCCAATTACGCGGACATTATTACCGGCCAGCGACACAGGCGCAGCGGCCCATACGGACAGGGAGGGGGAGCGGGAGACAGGTAATGGAGAAATATGGAGGGGCCCATCAGTGGAGAAATATGAATAGCAATTGGGAAGGAGAGGAAAACGGATGGGAAGCGAGTTTAGGAACTCTAAGGTAGATACTAGAGGTATCTAGTATACTAGATACCTCTAAGATACTAGAGGTATCTCAGTCTACCTTAGAGAGAGGTAGGTAGAGAGCGCAGGCGAGAGGGATAGACGAAGAGTGAGAGAAGAGAGAGATAACTCCTCTCTCCCTCTCTCCATATACAGTACACGCAGAGGTCACAGCGCGCCGAGTGAGGCCCTCCCGGCGGAACGCCCCGCGGTAGCAGGTACACACGGACTGCACTGGTCAATTCAATGGTAGAAAGTGACAACCATGAGACCGAAGGCTGAGGTCGGCAGGGCAAGCAACGCACGGAACTGGCAACGCAGAGGACTAGTCCAACACCATAACCAATGTAAATAAGTTACAATAATCGGGGCATTAGAAGCCCAAGTTCCACAGCCCTCAAGGCCTACAACACAACATCGATAACAGGAACGCCACTACAGAAGCTAAGCAGTCAGCACACACACACATCCCCCTTTATCAGCTGACTCCATGATATCCACCAATACTCTCCACACCGCAGTGAACACACGCGCACAGCCGGACGGCGCCGGCGTAGGGCCGGCTACCGGACCCCGGGACCCTCAGTACAGTGACCCCGGCCGGACCCCGGGCCCTCTCAGTACAATGACCCCGGTAGGACCCCGGACCCTCTCAGTACAGTCACCCCGGAACCCGGGCCCTCTCAGTTCGATGACCCCGGGCCCTCTGAGTACAGTGACCCGGCCGGGCCCCGGGCCCTCTCAGCGCAGTGACCCTGCACCCCCGGACCCTCTCAATACCGTGACTCCAGGTCGGACCCCCGGATCCCCTCAGCACAGTGACTCCAGGCCGGACCCCGTGACCCTTTCATTAGTGACCCCTGCCGGACCCACCTTGACCGTGGTGACCATGGTGCCGACGCGCTCCTCGAGTGATTTGACGGTGGGCGAGTCGCGCGCCTCGGTCAGCTTGGCGCCCAGGCCGGCCAGCAGACCGGACGCCTTCTCCGTGGTGGTCTTGAGCGCCGCCTCGGTCCGCTGGTAGCTGTACGGGGGGATGGGGCGGTCAGGAGAGAGGGGGAGGGGGAGGTCAGGGGAGGGGGGACAACCGGTGGTCGCTGATCGCATAAGCGAGTGTGCTTTATCATACTGTTACAGTCATGGTACACATATACGCTGAAGGCAACGTCCAGGCAATCAAATATGATACACATAGGTTACCACAAAGTAGAATGATACAAAACACGCTAACTTCCCTCCCAATGAAAGCAGACATGAGGACAAAAGTACCGTGACAAAGAACATGTGTTTGGGATTTAATCAATTGCAAAAGAGCACGTTTTCGTAGCGTACTGACACTGACAGCCAGGAAACGTCGAAAACACAACTACACTGTCAGATAGGTAGTCTTCAAAAGTTGCAAATTGCTACATAAGTTTAAAAATTACTCATTACGCGTGTGTGTAAATTGGGAGACACGGATGTGCTCTTTTGTATCCAAACCGTTAATCTAATAACATCTCACTAAAAGCGACTACATACAAGACTAAAACGAGAAGTAAAAGCGATACTGAACAATGCAGAGATCCTAATGAACTCGTGTATTCATTCAACTTTCCATGAATGGTGTGATACTACGGTCTACCCTGCATCTACGCTAGTTATATCTGTGAGAGCTACGAAGTTTCAGTTACCATCTCAGACTATCCCCTACCGAGGGAGCACAGCAGGCTCGGGAACGCAGCAGGCTCGGGAGCGCAGCAGGCTCGCGAGCTCAGCGGCGGGTCAGGTCACCATGCCCACACTCACTCCACAGTCAACACGGCTAAAGCATGCGTGGCGGATGGGATCAGGCAGGGGTGTTCGCTGGGAGCATGCAGTGAGCGAGCACACGGATGTAGTTCCAGCCTCCCGGAGCCAGCGAGCGCCGCCGCTAATCAATGTGGTGTCAATACAGAAATCCACATCGGGTTTCCCATGTTAACTGAACCTACTGCCAGGCAATAATGGTATAATGATAGGAAAAAACGACCATCATCAAAATAAATCAGTTGAAAACAAAACAAAGACTCAAACTTTTTGCTCGATTGAAAACAAATTTAAATCTAACACATTGAATTTCATTTCCAGGATTATCAAGATAAAATTTTGAACCGTTGAGCCGTCACGAAAAATGAGTCTTGCGCTGTAAGTGGACAAGAACCATTATAAGGGACATGAATACTGCTTCGAGGACGATTAGAAAACGTAAATGAAATGTGAGGCTTGATGTCATTGCCTTCTGTGATAATGAAACAAAACGAAACAAAACCCACTCAGACATCCCAATCAGATCGCTGAGTGCGGGGTAGTGCCGCTACGGCAGAGAGCGTGTGCGACTTACAGCGACATGGCCTTCTCGTCCTCCGAGTCCGCGCTGTGACTCTCCGCCGTCTCAGTGACCTCCTCGGCAGCGGTGTCCGCCATTGTGAAACCTCGGCTTCCTCTACGACCGCGCCCCACTCACAATAGCATAAACAACGCAGTCACACCCCCCTGTAACGCGAGCGCCGGGAAAGCCGTCCAGCCGGGCTGCTCAGAACTAGCAGGGCGGTTAGTGATGGGGATGGTCCGGGAAAATCCCCGCTGAGCCGAGGGATTATTGTGACAAGTGTCCTGCATTGCCCGAGAGCTTAACAAAGAAATAGTGAATTGTGAAATATCCCTGGATTACAGCCTAGCAGCTCAAGTGGTAACAGCGAAACGAGCCTCGAAGTTAGCGCTTAAATGTTATTTGACGCCGCATTTCATCAAGGGAAATCGTCGTCAAAACGATGCATCCTCCATCAAATCAATGGCCAGCGCGGCTTTATCGCTGGCGGCGAAGCCATGCAATAAACGGCCGCGGCCAGCTGAGCAAAATGAGCGGCAATAAAAAGTGTCACATCGAGTCAACTGCCATTGGTCATTTCACAAACTCTACAGTCTACAGAATCAAGGAAAGTACCACATGAGCTGGAGACTGACTGAGTTAGTCCGCGACGCTCATACTCAGCAAAAAAAAAACGTCTCAATCTTTACAGACAAGACGTTAAGATCGATGGAAGTTTTCATCAAGCTAGGGAGTAGGGAGTAGGGCACCTGGCTGAGAAGTAATGCATCCTATTGGGTCCCAGTGGTGGCGAATCGCCGCGGGAGGAGCGCTGAGAGAGCCGCACCTTCCGTGGCCGACAGAGTCTCTCCTGGAGCGGCACTGAACACAGGGCGTCACCGAACCTCACCGGAATTGGACAGTGGACACTGGGCAGATTCACCAGCGCGGGCACCAGAGCGAGCATTGCTGGCACCATTGACACCCTGGTTCACATTCAGCGAGTGACACAAGGCCAGGAGAAATGAGCGAGATATGAGCCTGCCTGAGGATACACACAACTCGCAGCCTGAGCTGTGTCTGAGTGGATGGGATAAACATAAAAGAAAGGTCTCCCGCTATTGGAAACTTGTCCAGCTAATGTGTGACAGGAAAACTCATGAGAGTGTCTCCGAAAGACTACTTAAAACTTGAAGTTCGAACAGTTCGTTTTTTCTTTCTGACATTTTCATTACCTGGGTGTCTTGTCCAACAGTTCCGCAGCTGACCAAGGCGCTACATGGCGTTGGTAATGGAAACATAGCTCGGCAGATGACTATCACGAGTGGCATGATCGGCACATGCTTGGCGACGAGTGAAGTGTGTGGACAGCATATCCGAAAGGTAGGTACCTGTATACTAGGGGTACCCATTTTTGGGTCAATTTTCCAAATTTTAGGTGGGGGTGGATTTTCCCATTATTTGGTCTATTCTGATTCCACCTGTGCCAAAAATACCGAAATCAAACGATTTCTAGGGGTCGCGAATTCAAAATGAAAATGCCAATTTTAGCGAAAAATAGACAAAATAATGCTATTTAATTTTGAAACAAGATTACCATGCCAACAGGTTGGGGTCAATTTTCCCATTATTTGGCCTATTCTGATTCCATCTGTGCCAAAAATAACGAAGCCAAACGATTTTTGGGGGTCACGAATTCAAAATGAACATGTTAATTTTAGCAGAAAATCGACCAAATTAACATTGTTTTATGTTGGGACAAGGTTACCATGCCAACAGGTTGGGATCGATTTCATCATTATTTGCTCTGTTCTGGATCTATAGCAGTGACAGAAATAATGATATTAGACTTTTATGGGTCGCGAGCTTGCATTGGAGTTTTAATTTTAGTGGAAAAATGATTTAATTTGAACGACTATAAATATGCAAAGCCAATGTGTTGCAGTGGTATTAATGACTGTTAGACACCGTGCAACATTGCTTTAGTTGTATATTCGACGTGCAGCGGTAAAAGAGAGCACCAAAAATATCATTTTGGTCAATGAACAGCATATGCTCATTTACACTCACTCTCGCTTAGACCGTCATTAGTAGAGCTAAAGACCGCAACTCTTAGAACGAATGGCTATGTAGTCAGGAGGGCAAAAATCAGCGATCGAAGCTTTCTCATTGGAACCACCTAATTTTCAATAAGTCGTCTCATTCAGCAAAGGCAATGACCGATCCCAAGGACATGAACATATCTATACCGACATAAAAGCAGCACTAAGCTATGCCGGTATGCACGACTGATGACCTTTGCCAATTCGCTAGCCGAACTCCCCGAGTCCCGGAGTTGCAGAGACGGCAGAAAGAAATTTGCAGAAAGAAATATGTTTACAATTTTGCTGATGACGGACAGCACTGGCCTGGCCGAACGCGCGCACGACTGCTCGTGACTCCAGTTCTGGGCATGTGCCGCTCCTATACCAGCTGATGCCTTGAGACGGGTGCAGATATACCTATCGATGTCATGGAACCAGTGGCTGGTGACGGCCGCTGCCAGCAGTATCCTTTCAAGATAACGGACCTTACACTGCACACTGCACTCTACAGGCTCAGTCCAAACCCGTAGCTGATGTTGAACTGAAGTCGACGAATGTCATTGCTTAAAGCTGAAAATTAGGAAGGTGCCCAAGTCTAGACGGCTCAGCCAACTCCGAGGCAGAACCGTTTATTGACTCCTGGCATTGGCACGCACACTCTCTTATATGATGCGTCCTGGTATGTCCCACCATACGGCCCATGCAGGATGAAAATATCCTGCTACATTAGGTTCTTCAGACTCAGACGCCAAATAGGTACCTGAGATCACAAGTGATCTGTGCAAGAAGCTGTGAAAGGTCTTCGTCACATATCAACCATGCACGTATCAGCGCATGGCTAGTCGCGTGTGGTCGAATATGAACTCGTAAATGATCTGCAGTTGTATCGGAAACTCTTCCACAAGAACGGTGTGTATCTGTCCCCACTGAAGAAATGGAATACTACGTACATACATGGTTGGTGGGCGTGGAAAGAATCGACGCTTTGAAGTTTATGTTTTCGGATTAGAAGTTGATATTTTTGGGTAGAACACCCAGATTTATCCTACTCTGTCTCAGAGGTCTATTACATCGTAGCCGTGAGCGATCAGGACTGCGTTTCTTGTGGAAGCATACGGTCAAAATGGTTTGATCGTTTTTTAATTACATGATTTGAAGTCCATTCGGAGCCATGATCTGTGAGATGTATCCTGAGCTTATTTGCACGGACACAAAGAGCCTGTCATGTCATGTCAAGTGGCAACTGAAAGGTAGGTCACATTTTAATTTGACGTCACAGGTCATCAAAGGTCACCATTACAACTCATGACCTTCAAGAGGCAGAAGATATCAAAAATGATTACACGCTGACCAGAATGATACCAACAACAGGAGCAAAACATCCCGGGCCGGGATGTTTGCTCCTGTTGTTGGTCGCCGGGATTCCCGGTTTCACCAAATGTTACAATATCGACATCGTAATGATCGCTAGTAAAGCATTTAACCGGAACCACGTGATGGAGCACATCGATCTGGATGAAAACGGAGCGCTCAATGACCCCTCAACCCGACTTTCAAAACAAAAACTTTGCCTTTAGTGTGATTTATTATCAGCGTAAAATAGGCATATTTCTAGGTAAATACGCAAATTTCAATCTCAATTCGCGACCCCTAAACCACCTTTGATTTCAATATTTTTGGCATCATTGGAATCACAAGCCGCGAAATAATGGGAAAAACCACCCCCACCCACAAATTTCCAAAATCGGGAAAAATGGGTACCCCTACTGTATACGTGCTTTGGGAGCATCCAACCAGGGCTGGTGACTTATGATGCAACAATAGCACCAGCCGACGGCGGAGTGGACCAGTCACCACTCAGTTGGGCGGGGACGATCGATACAGAAACTGACCAATCGAGGTTCAAAGCCAATCAGAGGCGGCGCCAGAGCACAAGGCGTCCATAATAGATCGGCGACATCGGCCTCAGACATTGGGAAATAACGGCCTTATAAATAGAGCATAAAGGCCTTATAGAGTATCAGTGGCTCTCATCTCTTGTGTAAGCTTCCTTGAAGCCGCCGAGTCTGCAATTGGCAATGTTATTTAACTCGCGGGCCCGGGGGGGGGGGCGTTTTTCGCCCCCCCCCCACCTGGCGAATATTTGCGATAGCTCCAGAACGCTTAGGGATAGGAAAGCGAAACTTTCAGTACCTTTTCTCCTATCAATTTGACATCTTCTGAAGTAAAAAATTTGGACCTAACCCCATTGATGACGTCACAAGGTCCATTTTTCTAGACCCCTGCACGGCAAACTTCGGCGTCACAGACGCAAACTTCAAATAGCTGTTAAAAATAGAGTTTTAGAGATAAAGACAAATTACGAGCACGGTTGTGTAGCGTTTGACCTAGAGAAAAATAGAAAAATAGTTTTGGTGACCTGAGGTCAGAGGTCAGGTCAACGACCCCGAAATGTGGTTATAGTTTTTCGCAAAACTTCGACAAAAAATGTCCTAGAGCTACGGCAATGGTACCATCGCATTCGCCTTGTCAAGCCGCGTCGAATGATATATATTTTGTTTGGGAAAGGTCAAGTTTTATGTTGACCTCATGTGACCTCGAATGACCTCTGGTTGACCTTGACACATAAGAGGTCATTTATGATGGATTTGTACCCGCTGATCACGGATCTGGCATCTATTTTCCTCTAAGCCTTCATTTAGAGCTTCTGGACGGCAAAATTGTCTTATTTACTATTACTAACTTGAATCAGTGAAATAGCCTCTAGCAGGGATACTCTTCTGTGACCTTGACCTTTGAGCAGCCTTGTATCGTAAGATGAACCACAAATAGGGAACTGATAAGCCTCAAAACATTTCAAAACATCTTGGAAGCTAGCACGCAAGATGTGCGAAAAAGTGCCAAGTTTGAGGTCAATTTTGAGCGTGACCTTGACCTTGACCTTTAATTTTAAGCACATTTTCGGAATCCTCAGATTCTCTTCTTTCGTTTGACACCCAATTTTGCCGGTTCGATGCAGCCTGCCGTCCTCTAGAAGGCTTACTTTGAGATCACTACACATGTGCCGGTTTTGCCTTTGACCTTGACCTCTGACCTTGAAAATTGACCTGAGGTCAAAAATTTTAGGTGCTTTAGAATCGTCTCGTAAGGACCTTTCGTTTGGTATCGCTTTTGTTTCCGTAGCTCCCTTATTTACGGAGTTAGACAGGGGGGGGCGAAAATGCCCCCCCCCCCGGGCTGCGGTGGTTGGGATTACCTCCGGGCCCGGCCGGGTTAACGATCTACACCGCGTCATATCCAATCGATCCTACTACGTGTCGAATAGTCAATGGTGGACATGAGACCAATCAATGTAACTCACGGACACGTGACCTTTTCCAAAGAAGTTTCCAGAATCCTTGGCATCAACAGGAAATAGGTAACATCAATATACTAATCAATCGATGGCATGACCAGTGGACCAATCAAAGCCGGTACGAGCAAAACGTCGCATGTGAAACATAACAACGGCAGGAAATTGACAATCCTTAACAAAGTAAGCGACCAGCCGGAATGGCGGACAATCGAGAAAAACCTCTGATTCTAGCAGATGCCACCCAATATTTCTTTTTTTTCTGATTGCTACTTCACCTTTCCAAACGCCTAAACAAAATGCCTCCAACAACTACCCAGAAACAACTTACACCACCTGTCGACACCAAGCAACCACAGAAAGCTTTCACGACCAGTCCAACAGGACACCTTGTCACGCTCGGACCAGCCCCCAGGATCAGCGGCGGGGCGGGGCAGAGGGACAGAGTCCGGGGCCGGGACAGAAGGGACCGGGGGCGGGACAGAAGGGACCGGGGATAGGACAGAAGGGACCGGGGCGGGACAGAAGGGACAGGGGGCGGGGCAGAAGGGACCGGGGGCGGGGCACAAGGACCGGGGGCGGGACAGAAGGACCGGGGCCGGGGCAGAAGGGACCGGGGCCGGGGCAGAAGGACAGGAGTCGGGGCACAAGAGACCGGGGGCGGGACAGAAGGACCGGGGCCGGCTCACCACCCTGCAGTCCCGCGGCGTCGACTGGCGTCAGCCGACCCGAGCGGCGCCGCCGGCCATCGACCGGTCGACGCCGTGACGTCACCGAGCGGCGCGTCGTCCGGCCGCGGCGCACCGCCGGCCGACGGGTGCACAGGGGGGTGCACGGAGGGTGCACAGCGGGTGCACAGAGGGGACGCCTCGCGCCGTGACTCACGAGCACCAGTGACGCCCCGTGGGAACCGGAGCGCTTCGTAGAGCTGGATACAATGTTCGTTCAAATCAAGCGTAATCGCAATAATGGACGCAATTCCTCTTATTTGTGAATTCGTATGTTTTAATTCCTAAGTGGCCAAGTGATCGACTACATTCGATTACACATGCACAGCTGAAATGGAAACCATGACGAGAGTCATATTGACAGGAGGCGACCAGCGTCAAAGGAAAACCGGGGTCCGTTCACGTTCCGAGAGCCCGTTTCGTGTACTGCGGGTCAGCCTAGCTGTACAGGCGACCGACTGTGCTGCCATCTATCGAGAGTCGGAATAACCACTGCCAGTGCAAGGACCGCAGCGCAAACTAAATTCTCGAAAACTTACCGTCAGGACGCCATTGATGGAAAGAACGGAACGGTTATGGATCTTATTATACCTACAACGTGCAGTTAGTATTTGAAGGTCTAGTAAATAAAGAGGGATGCATACGAAGTGTATATCAGCGATGTGCGCCTCAGCTCAACGGCATGTCATAGGACAGTTTCTGGCCCAAATCGTGGCTGATCAAACATTGCACGATTGCGTGCTCCGACCGGAAGGCCACCCGAAAATTTAGCCTGAATTACGAGCTGACGGTTATGAAAAGCGGTAACACCCGTTACAGTACTTCTGATGAACCCCTGAGGCAAAGCTAGCACTATTTCAATGGCGACTTGAGCCTCAGCATCTGCACGCTCCCAGTGCCATCACTCGTCCCACGGAGACATGCACCTGTTACAGGTCCCTCGGCAAGACTGCAGACTGATAGTCACGCCAGAACAGGATTGGTTCATGGACTGGGAACTGGCATGGAAAAGGGAACTTATTCTTTGGAAGAGGGAAAACTAGAGACAGACAAGTGAATACCGAAGTCCAAACCACCAAATATAGCTTTGAGATGTGTTAATCCCGTACCAGTCCCGTGAAGCAAATGTTGAACCAAGGCAAACGGAGTATTCCACCAGCACACCGCGCGGACTGTGTTAGTTTTCACCGGGCCCCACCAGGAGAAACGGGGAGGGGGAGCAGGACTTACGCTGGCGTGTGCTGCGCCTGCTCCAGTTTCCCTGCCACCGCCTGATACCTGCAGAGAGCCAGACAGCGGGACAGCGGCCGCACAGCGCGTCAGACGAGCGGATAGAGAAAACAGAGGGAGGAAGACAGAGGAGGGTAGAGAGAGAGAGAGAGTGTGGGAGAAAGGAGTGGGGAGAAAGAGAGGAGGGGGAGGTGAGGGAGGCGTGAATCACACAAACATCAATATGGATATGTGAGGAGCGCAGACGGACAGAAAACAAAAATGTTGGTCGTGGGAGAGTGAAAAGGAAGAGGAAAATATAAAACGGCAACGGAGAAAGTGGGGAAACAAGGTAAAGATAAAGCCTGGAGGAGTATATAACGTGAAGATGGAAAAAGCAAGGGTCAGGTTGAGAACAGAGTATTGAGAGAGCAGAGTGAAGCGAGAGGGAGAGAGGAGCTCCACCGTACCATAAGGATTAAGCACGCATAAGCGACTACACGCTACGGACAGACAGACATACAGATATGCCACGCTATAGCGACAGACCAACGTATTTGAGAGCCCCTCCACTCCCGCGGCTATGCCTATACCACTACAGAATATAAGTTCTGAAAACGGCGAGGTAAAACTCGGCAACAAACTAAAGATTTAGCTGCCAGTGTCACGTCAACTTCACCGTCACCGCATTATATACAGGGAGCTCTGACAAAGGCAGCGACTTGAATAGCTAACGAAACATTTCGTTCTACTTTCCATGGCAACCATGAATGAGTCATTTCCCTTGGGGCTGTAATCGCCGGTGAACAGCCACGAAATGGCCTCCGAGAACAGAAGTAGTTAACCGCAGCGCCTACTAGAATACATCCTGAAGGAGTCGCTATCGGGTGATGAATGATGCGACCTTTGCTCCGCGCCTATGACCTCTAACAATGCGGGCAGATATCGGGGTCTTCCGTCAACATATCCCGACGTCCGGCTCCGATAAATCATAATAGGGCACCATCGATATTCAGCATTGATACAGGGGGGCACCATCGATACTCAGCATTGATACAGGGTCCGTTTACATACAGAAGCATGCCTCTCAAAAGCGAGCTGTCCGGTCAAGCGGCTGTGCAACTGGTGGTGTCTTTGCTCGGCCAATGCGTGCTGCGGCCGTCAGAGCAGGGGGGGGGGGGCTGTGATAGGGGACTGGCCTTGAGCCCTCCGCCTCCCCTTGCTCACGGGCGTGCTGGCCGTGCTCGCGGGCGTGCTGGGGCCGTGCTGGGCGCCGCGGCCCGACCAACTCACGTGCCGCCCCAGCCCCACAGGCTGAGGCTACGCCATTAATGCAGCGGCAGAGGGAGAGAGGGGGCAGAGAGAGGGGGAGAGGCGGCCGGCGGCGGCGTCAGTCACAACAGAGGCGGGGCCACGGCCGACACCGAGCACAACGATAGCACCAGAGGGGGGCAGAAGCGACGGTACACCCGGCACCAGCAGCACCAGCAGCACCCAGCCCGGGTCACCACCGGTCCGCCGCTCAGCCTGGCGTCACATTGTATCTGTCCGACTCGGCGGTATCTGAGTATCTGGCTTCGACCTCCATGTATTTCTGAATTAATTTCTAGGTGTTAAGAGCGAAAAAAAAAATATTCAGAGTATACGTGTCTCACCAGCAAATAAGCTACGTCTGCCTGGGTAAGTAAGCAGTACAGACTCACATAGCAGTGTCTTTTCATCTGGTTTTCATCTGGTTATAGTGCATATGATAATAAAATAATGTCTTTCTACTGCGTCGTAGGTCAATAGACGTTCATTTCAATTCAAGCTCTAGCTTAGATAGCTCACGGTACTACCTCATGTAAATGACACTTTCCATGAAGCCGTAGCTGATATCACACGTTGATCGGCGGCTGTGCCATCACGTTGGACTGCGGAGTTTTAGCGAAGGACGTTAAAAAATGGAGGCATCGCCCACCCCGGCTAGTGGCGCGATATTTCGCGAAATAGAGCAATCAGCTCCGTAAGGTTAGCGGCGCTACCATTGTGCAATCACTGAGAACTGAGAAGGGTTAGTTTCATCCGCCCGTGCCGATCTGAGGATCGAAGAGTTAGACCGCTCCATCCGTGCAATGCTGAGGAGGGCAGGGGTTAGTTGGCTCCGCCCGTGCCCATCTGAGGAGGAATTAGAGTAGAGCTGCTTCATCCGCGCCATGAGAAAGCCAGTCCGTGTCAGCCGATCGTTCCACCGTCTCACATCTGTCAGCCAGAGAGCGGTTAGTCTTCCCCCCTAGCTCGGCCGCTCGGCCCGTCCGTCTCCGTCCCCGCGCTCTGCCGGCCTGCGCTCAGTGTTAGTCCGTGCGGCGTTAGACACTAGACAGCGCTGCGTTCTCCGTGCGCTACTCACAGCGGCGCTTCCGTGACCGCGTGCTGGATCTCGCTGATCGTGTCCGTCACCTTGTGGTACCTGTCGACGGCCGTCGGACACCGGTACAGGACAGCGGTAGAGCGGTACAAGACAGCGGTACAGGACAGCGACACAAGACAACGGTACAGAACAGCGGTAGAGCGGTACACGACAGCGGTACAGAACAGCGGCACAGAACAAGGGTATAGAACAGCGGTAGAGCGGTACAAGACAGCGGTACAGGATAGCTGAGTACGAGGTACACAGCGTGTACACGGGGACACCGGTACACGAGAGCGGTACAGAACAGCGGGAAACGGAACAGAACAGCTGAGTACACACCACAACGGTACGGGGCGTGTACAATGAACAGCGGTACCGGACAGCAGCTGAGTACGAGGTACACGGTGTGTACACGGGGACACCGGTACACGACAGCGGTACAGAACAGCGGGAAACGGTACAGAACAGCTGAGTACACACCACAACGGTACGGGGCGTGTACCACTGTACAATGAACAGCGGTACACGACAGCGGTGCAGGACAACGGCACAGAACTGACTAGGTACAGCGGCACAGGACAGCGGTACAGAACAGAGGTACAAAGCAGCGGTACAGAACAGCTGAGTACACACTACAGCGGTACAGGGCGTGTACAACGGACAGCGGTACAAGACAGCGGTACAACGGTACAGGACGGCGGTACAGCGATACAGGACGGCGGTACAGCGATACAGGACGGCGGTACAGCGATACAAGACAGCAGTACAGCGGTACAAGCCAGCGGTATACAGATACAGGACAGCTGAGCATAGCGGTACTGGGCGTGTAAACCGGCCAGCGGGACAGAATAATGGTACAGCGGTACAGAGTGTGCACAAGGAAAAGCTTTGCAGTAGTACAAAATGGATCTATGCATAACTGGAATAGGGTCGAGAACATGTACTTCTGAGATAGTGGTACAGAACCCGGTCTACAGCGGACTGCCATGTCATATTTGCGTCACAAAATCGTAAGACACAATGTACTGCGCACGGTTGAGCTGAAGCTCACATATACAAACAGATACATATACGAACATGCAGTGCCATGAAAAGGCGACGCAATATGCCGGCGGCGCTGCGCAATAACAAAGCGACGCAGTTCGTCTGTAAATCAGAACGCACACCGCAGCTGACGGCGGGCAGATAAAGGAAGATCAGTAGCCGTGCTGGGATAATCTGAAAAAGATTAGGCTTAAAATACAACACTGTATTAGCTGGGCAGCTATGGCAGCATACACTACGGCTTAACTAGCCATCTGAAACTCAGCGTAAGACATGTGATAAATGTGCTAAACGTGTCCTTGGTTAAATCACGATTATTCAGTCCCAGTCGGAATCGGTGTTCATCGCCCGCATCAACCCCTCCTCTCTCAGCCTACCACCCCCACCGCCACAGACTACCCTAATGGCCGTCCCTGCACCACAGACGGGCGACCGTGCCGCGGCGGCCGCACGCGCGGCCTACTCACGCCTGTGACTCTCGGACGTTTTTCAGGCCCTGGTTGACGTCGTCGGTGAACTCGCTCCACATGGTGATGCCCAGCTTGTGCTTCAGCTCCTGCGCCTCCTTAATCTTGGCCGACAGCGTCTCACGCATCAGCACAATGTCCTCCTCAATCTGTCAGCGGTGGGACCATCACATCAGAAACTCGTCCCACATTTTACACCAACATTACAAGAGCCAAATGAAAATGAAATCGATGAGAGGCAGTTTACCGAGCAACCGCATCAAACCGCATCAAACAAAATACTTGGTCAACCGCTACAAACCAAAACACCTCAATGTTTGTCCACTAAACAACTACCCCATCCATGTCCTCCCCCTCCCTTCACACCAACCGACTGGCGGCATTCACCCTGGCCAGGTCCTGCTTCCACTCCTCCCTCCAGACCCCCTCCTCGGGACGGCACTCACCCTGGCCAGGTCCTGCTTCCACTCCTCGCGCTGCCGCTCCTGCTCCTCCGGACTGAGGGCGGAGAACGCGTCCACGACTCCCGAGTCGGCCGAGGGCGAGGTGGCCGGCATCTCGGTGGCTGAGGGGACACGGGGAGGGGGATGTTAGTTGAAGGGAGGGAAACACTCACGGAGACCGATGGTCAGAGGAGACAGGGCCTGGCTCACCGCTGGCAGATTGGCGCTGCAGGTGTGTGTAGCCCAGCCAGTGGACGCGCGGAGAGTCCATAAACATCGTCCCAGTCACAATCCGCGAGCGAGGGCCACGCTCCGGTCGCCCCGATGGAGAGTCACACTACTAGGCTCGCCTCTGAGAGAGACAGGTCACACTTGGCGCAAAATTCCACAAGGGAGAATCAATCCCAGAGCATCTCCACGATAGAGGGCTGCACTGCGGTCACACCTCACTCGGCGCACCGCACAGCTCCGACGAAGACACCGCGCACTGCCCGGTGGCCAGCACCAGCCGTCCCTGTGTCTGAGAGGAGGGACAGACACACCACACCCAGCCCAGGACGGCGGCCGGTCCCGCGCGCCGCCGAGCAGTGCCGGGGCAGCGGACTGCTCGTGTCACCGTCCGCAGATCGGGATCGATAGGTAACACCTGTGCTGTGACCGTCCGCACCCGGGCAGAGCCGGTAATGTCTGGTGATGTTACTCAGGAGGTAACGGAGAGCACAACCAGACCAATGCCAATAATACGGCATCTAAATAGCCGATTTACTCCATTACATTTTAAATACGCCATTTGAATGGCAGTTTTACTCCATCATATTTCATCAAAGTTTGAACTAACACATCTATTACCATACCGTTTGGCGAAAAAGCGAATTGGTATTGAATCATATCTACATGCATACGTCCCTATCGAGTTATCCATGGCTGAATGAAGGACAACTTTCAAAATAAACAAAACACCAGACCGTGCTGACCCAGCTAATTTTTGCCCGAGAACCCGTGATGCATGGCTTAATATGTTCAGTTCTCTTACGCAATCAGCCGGAAATCGGGCGAAAAATGACACAGAACCACCACCAAAACACATGGAGAGACGCGCTAATAAGCAGCTCCCATTTCTGGCACCAATTTCTGCCGGGCCGCCCTCGGCAGAGCGCTAAACCGGGTACCAGCGACACAAACTCGGTCTGGGGAGTTTTATGTTGACGGACGGGAGTGCTGAGCCGACACAGCTGTGATGTATCCCCCAACCAGATCGAGAAAACGGACCGTGGCTCCAGTTTAGCGTAATTTGTGAAAGAAAAGAGTCCCGCTTGAATCACTTGTATAAATAAACGTGCACACTAGTGTTGGAAACTACTGACGGATCGTCAATGTTTACCGAATTGGTCCGAGTGATCAGCCGATGTGAAAAACGCTGATGAGTTGAGATTACCACCGTGAGATCGGTACCGATCTCGTTCACACCACACAAGACACGAGGGAACGCTGCAGTACCCACGGAAAACATCGCCAGTACAGGCTCTGCGACAGCCTGCCGTCCTGATGGGATCAGTTCTATCAATCGATACTGACGAGCTCAACAGGCAAGTGTACAGTGTGTCGCTGTTGACATCGACATAGCGGCCATCTCATTAAAGGGACACTCCCACCTTAACATTAGTTTTGAGTTGAGATAGCCAAATTGGTGGCCATGGCCTGCAAATACCGGTTTGGGCACTCACAACATCGAAAAATGCTTTAATTCGAAGATATGGAATTTCAAACTTGCAGTTTTCGGATTCTAAGGGGCTAATGCATTGGAATGCCCCCTTAGAATTTGTGACGTCAGCGGAGATCTAACGATTTTTAAATCTTAGACTAAAACCATCGTTAACACGTGGTGGTATACCACAGGGGAGCAATGCCGCTTCAACCCTATTGGCCGTAGTGTCTAACGGTGGCGGCCATATTGCGCAGACCAAGAAACGGCTGCCGCCTGTGTTGAGGAATAGGGAATTCGGGACCTTGATTTACGTTTGCGGCCGCCGCATCCGTTACGTTCAAGTTACGTAGATACGGAACGCGGCATCTTACGCAGAATTGAGTGGGGAACACGATCGTATCTTCAGAATTCTTCAACTTCACTCGCCGGACCTACATTTACCCCGGCCGAGGGGGTTGATTGAACCCACCTCGCTTATGCGCCGCAAATTAAACTAGAATTAAGCGGCAAATTGGTCGTTTGCGACAAAGGATAATGCAGAGTGACTGGAAGGAACCCACTGTAAAGGTCCCGGGTCAACCGGTGACCTCTGAGGTCAGGTCAAGTGATCTAAGGCGCGGGTTCAGTTTTTGGTAAATAACTTCGCCAAAAATGGCCGTAGAGCCGCGATTTTGGCATCATCGTGTTCAGCTAGCTCAGGCGCATCGAGTGATATACTTTTTGTTCGGGTCAGGTCAACTTAGGGTGTTGACCTCAGGTCAAGGTCAGGTCAGCATCCCCAGGTCACGAAGTTGGTCGAAAGAGGTCATGTCGCATATCATTCGATTCGGCAGGTCTTCCTGAGTCCATTGGTGGCTTTCCCGACTCGCTAGCTCAATTTGATCGGGAGTTATTGAAGAAAAAATTGTGACCCTTATGACGTCACAAATGACGTCACGCAAGGGCAACAATGCAAATATGAAGCATAGAACCTTGCAAGGAGTGCATGAAATCATGATTTTATATGCTTGAGATAGTTTCAGATCATTCTCGGCGCCAAAATAGCAATTTTCATATTTCCCCATTGCCTTATAAGGGCTTAACGTATTAGTTCCTTGTATCTGAGAATTTTTTAGGATTTCATCTTATTCTCCACTCAATTCTGCGTAAGATGCCGGGTTCCGTGTCCACATAGCTTGAACGTAACGGATGCAGCGACCGCAAACGTAAATCGAGGTCCCGAATTCCCCATTCCCCAACACAGGCGGCGGCCGCTTCCTGGTCTGCGCAACATGGCGGCACCGTTGGACACCATCTGGCGGCCGATGCGCATTCCACATTATAGAGTTCAGTGTGGTACAGGGTATATTGAGTGAAGGGTAGGACGAACTTTGGTAGGAATTTCCAGTATAACTACTAGAAAACCTACTATATGTGGTCGGGACTAGCAAAAAGTTAGTTCAAACTAGAATATGGTAGCGCTTACGGTTGGCAGTCGTGACGCGCACGTGACATTCATTTCTTAAATTTCTTAAATAACAGGTTTTAGGGGCCGATTAGTGGGCAGATACATTCAATTAGCTATTAATAATTGATAATGCAGACATTCAAGAATCTACATCATTCAATTATAGCCAAAAGCACGCGGCGCTCCCAGGATTCGAACTCACGACCCTCGGATCCATAGCCCGATACGCTACCGACTGCGCTACCGAGGACCGCGCGCCGACGATCGGAGAGGCGGATCGGGGGTGCTGGCGTGCATAGAAATCTTTACCCTGTACGCCGTAGAAGATCGGCTGGGTTTCGTGAAAAATGGTAGAGGAATTGTCGAAAGAAAATTCATCGATCTATCATTTGAGACTAAGAACCATTGATTCCTTCAAAGGTTGACCGAGATATCGCTCGCCGAAAACAGGCCATTTAACACGTAAACCCTATGGGCTGGTAGGAAATGTACGCCGTGGAGCAGCAGTGCTACCAACTAACTTCGGCGGGGGCCGGTGTGGTATACGCTGCTTTGCGCGCAACGTCTGCCGCACTTTAAAGCCTAAGCTACACTAGCATGAATTCCGACGTTTTTTCGGTTTCTGCGGGATTTCGGCTCGCGTCGTCAAGTTCGCCTCATAGCGAATGCATTGCGCAAGCTACACTGCCAGTCTGGCGTCCCGTGGAACGAAAACCCGCAAAAACCGACGAGTCGGAACCGAAAAAAAGTTCAGAGCTGTGAACTTTTTTTCGGTTTCTGCGGGATTTCGTTTTAGTGGCGGATGATTAGAAGTGATTGTTGCTAATAATATTGTGACGATGGAACAGTTTCAAATGTAAATAATGAAAATGGTGTAATGCATGATTAAATAAGACAAAATGTGTTTCAAAACTCATCATTCTACATCAAATATGATAATTGTAATTAAACTGACAAATGATTATGATCGAAAATCTTTTCTTGTTAGTTGCAAAATCTTTAAAACAATTATTTAATCATAATTTTGTTAAAACACGATAATATTTAACATGAATAATTAAATAAATTTATCACTTATCCATCACTATGCTATAAACAACACCGTCCACGCGGCGGCCGCCCGGAACGAAAAAACGCAGAAACCGTAAAAACGCGGAAACCGAAATCACGCAGAAACCGAAAAAACGCTGATAGTGTAGCCTGAGCTTAAGGCTGCCAAATTATTGCTTCCAAATAAAGTCGCTAGTAACAGGGGAGATCCCAAAAAGTAAACAAAAGTAAAAGCCTAATATCTTGAAAACCAGTGAATATTTTTCGGTGAAATTTGGTAGATATTCGTTTTCGCTCTTTCTGAACCAAGGGACATCACTTTCATGCCAATTCATTAACTTTTTTGAAGGTGGGAGGGTCCCTTTAATTTAGCTCGGTTACTGTAACAAACACCTGACTTATCCGCGCTTATGATCTAGTGCTGGTGGAATAATACCGTAACAAGATGCTTCACTTTTCAGTCACATCGCACATGTCCGTTGCATCATCACACTTATCATCTCCTTTGAGCCAACTATGAGCTGCAAAGTGCCGCGTGTGGAATGTCTGCCATCCCGCCCGCGGTTTGTTGAAACCGGATCCGGTCGTCCATACGGTCGCCGGCGCGGCGCCGGGCGGCCCGACGCTGACTCACATTACAGACGGTCCTGTTCAATCCGGTGAGAGGTAGCTTCGGATTGGGCGGGGAGGGCGGGGAGGGGCGTCTGGTGATCGTTCGCAGTATGATGAATTTAATTAAATTGCTGACGTCCGAAGCGGTAGATCTTCAGTTTCAAAGTCTAGATAATGCGACGTGGTATAACATATTGACATTGGGACACAAATAAGCCACTGTGCTAAAAACACTACAAGTTAACAGCTCATTACGATGTTCACTTACAGTAGTTACGATATATTACGGTAACTTTGTCTCACAAATT